ATGGGGCGCCCTGGTAACACAAGGTGGCCAGAAGTCACCAAGGAAACCACCGATGGCTTAGCCAGCTTGAGCCTGGGGGACAGGGTTGTCTTGCGTGCAAGTGACAGATGGAGGACAGGGCTTGGGCTCTGGGCTGCCCTCACCTGCTGCAGCTATGCAGGTGGCCCCGTCCGAGCTGCACCTGTTCTGAGGCTAGACGCTCAGTCTGACAGTGCGGCCGCTGGCCACTGCCTTCACCATGCAGGCACCACCACGCTGTTCCCACACGCATGCCAGCTCCAGGGAGCAGCGCAGAGCCTGGCCCACCAATCTTGAGGGCAGGTGAGATGTGGCTCTCTAGGAACATCTCCAGATGCTGAGGGGAGCAGAAGCAACAGGGTGAGAATTATGTCCACTGTACCATCCCAGAGTGCAGGTGCCGACATGACACAGAGAGAAAGCAAGCACTCCCCTCACAGGGGCAGTTGACAAACAACCTGGGTTACAGTCAACCCCTCCAGTCAGCAGCCAACTCCAAGGGGATCCAGAGCCAGAGGATGGCGACCAACCAGTTCAGAGTTCCCTTGCTCCACCTACAATGCCAGCATCCCATATGAGCACGGGTTCTAGTCCTGGTGGCTCCATTTTCAACCTACTTATGGCCTGGGAAGGCAGTTGAGGATGGCCCAAGACCTTAGGTCCCTGCACCCATGTGGGAGATCCTGAAGAAACTCCTGACTCCTGGCTTCAGGTCAGCTCAACCCTGGCCTTTGCAGCCATTTGAGCAATGAATTGGCAGATAGAAGATCTCTCCATCTCTCCTCTCTGTGAATCTGCCTTTCCAATAAAAATAAAAGATTTTAAAAAATGAAGTGGGGAGCCTGCAGTTTGCTCTTCTGGACGCCACAGAAGCCACTGAGGGCCTGTAGACATCCCCGGGCCCCAGGAAAGGCAGGCAATGGGGATGCAGGCTCCTCTGCCAGGCTACCTTGAGCGGCAGGAAGCACCCAGGACCTAGCTGCTTTCCAGGCCTCCCCAGAATGGACACGAGCATGGCTGCTGACTGCAGGCTTCCCTCCGCAATTAGGGGTGGGGATGCAGTGTTGATGGGGATGGGTGGCTAGTTGGATGAAAGGCAACAAGCAGCACCCTGGGGCTGAGGCTGGGAAGCCCCATGGTCCCCTGCCCCATCCTTCCCACTTGCCTCCTCTGTGCCCAGCTACAAGCAGGTCCACTAGCCCTGAAAAACAGCACTACTGTGTCAGGGTACAGGGGAGCCAAGCAGGCGTCCCCTGCCCTGCTGAGCCCCCAGCCTCCTCTGCGAGCCCTCTGGGACTGTAGCAGGTGGTTGCCCAGGTCTAATTTGCCAGCTCAGAAAGGCCTGCGTGGAGGGAAAGCAGCAGCCTCGCAGCAGGAACACTAGTGCTCTCACAGAGCAAGCCGGACACAGAGGGCACAGAGCTCACCGTGCTGGGTCCCCGACTGGCCCTCAGCAGCGGCAGGGACAGGGGCCCCGCCCCACCTCGGCTGCCAGAATGACCAAGAGACGGTGCCAGCAGGTGTCTGGCAGCCCTGAGCATGCTACTGGGTGGCCCTGGGGAGCAGGGGCACTGCCATCCATTTGACCTCCATCCCTGCCCAACACCATCCCTGTCCAGTTGCAAGCACTGTCACCCACACTTCATGTGCCGTGGTTTCTAAGATCACAGGGGCACAGGTCATTCACTCAGCCATACCCTAGGCCTGGATGCAAACAAACGGGGCAGACGTACCCTGCTCCTGCGCTAACCCCTCCATCATGACAGGACACAGAAGGAGCAGGAGGCTCAGGCCCCTGGGTGGTGGCAGCAGTGCTGGACAGCTCACAAGGCTGTGCCGGGGAAGCCCATGTCACACTGGTGCAGTGTTTGTCTTCCCAGGCCCTTGTCCTAAGGCCGCCAGACGATAGATGGTGGACGTTGGGCATGTACATGGGGCTCTATCCCCTCCATGCTCAAGCCCCACCCCCAGGGCTTTCTCAACTATGAGGGCACACCTGCCCTGAGTCCCCCAACCACAGGCAGGATGAGCCAGTGATACTTCCAAGATGTGACAGTGCCTGCTGGGGGCAGGCGGGCTTGGAACCCAAACAGCCATAGCTTCTAGGGGAGTGTGGCACGGGGCTGGCCCTGGACCATGATGCCACAAATGCTCATCTTCTCTGACCAGCGTGTCCTTAGAGGCAGCCATGTGTGTGGGGATCCCAGAATTTTCATGACAGTTCTGGTTCCCACGACAGGAGACAGGAAAGCACTCCGACAACCACTACCCAGGGGACTGCTCAAGTGCACGCAGCAGAAGCAGGTGCAACTGTCCCGAGAAGAGAGGCGCTCTCTGCTAAGACAGCTGAGTGACAGCAGCAAAGGGTGAACACAGGGCCAGTGGCTACCGGGGCTGGGGTGCAAGGAGCAGCATGCACAAGGGACTCTCAAACGTGCATGGAATAGTGAATTAAAAGGCAGTTCCGGGGGGCCTCTCAGTGCAGCTCGCTAAGCCACCACCTGCAGTGTTGGCATTCTGTCTGGGAGTGCCAGCTGGAGCCCTGGCTGCTCTTCTTCTGGTCCAGCTCTCTGCTTGGGTGTGCCTGGGAAGCAGCAGGTGATGGGCCAAGGGCCTGGCCCCCGGCACCCACGGAGGAGACCGAGACAGCGTTCCAGGCTCCTGGCTGTGGCACTGTGGTCCTCTGGGGAGTGAGCCAGCAGGTGCAAGATCTCTGTCTCCCCCTCTTTCTTTCTGAAACTCTGCCTTTCAAAGATTTTTCCCCCCCCTTTTTAAAGGAAAGATGGAAAAGATGTTCATTTTGATGAAAACATGTTGATGGCCGAGCCTTTTCGTGATATACACTGTCCATGCACTCTCCCGAACCCCTGCATATGTTTGGCTGCGGGAGAGGGAGCTGCGAACAGCGTGGGCAGGAAGTGTTACATGCAGGCGCCAATGAGCTGCATGCCCAATCTTAGTTTCCACGGAAGGACAGCGTCCCAGTGGAGTTGCAGAAAAACCAAGGCCCTCCTTCCAGCACCTTCCGTTCAGGACCACAGGACATGTGCATCCACCCCCACTTCCTACCCCGAGGCGTCCCCCCCCCCCCCGGCTGCTCCCTGGGGTGTGGCTCAGTTGGCACCTCCTCCAGGAAGCCCTCCCTGACTCCCCAGTGGTCACCAACATGGCAGCCTGTATCCTCCTGGCCCCTGCCACTGCCCTGGTCTGTCCTACCTGTCCATACACATCCATGTGCCAAAGGAGCCAGGACCCCTTGGACCGGCCCTGGCACGCACTGCAGGAAATGTTCCTGTCCTCACCCCATCTACTGCTGGGCTGTGGGCCAAGCCAGTTCTCATCTGATTTTCTTAAAAGCCAAGGGCTAGGGGAGGCGCGCTGGAGGGTGAGGTGGGGGCGTTGGGGGAGGGGTGCACTCACTTGGCTGGCTCAGGCTCCAGGGAAGTCCTCCGCTGCTGGCTGCTGTCAGCCGCTCTGATGAATTGCCGTCCTCTGCAGTTGCCTTGCCGTCCCACCTGGCCAGCTTCCAGAGGCTTCAGGTCACTCATGGGCATTCCCGGCACGTGCGCGCTAAGACCTACTCCTGCAGGTCGAGTCCCAGGCTGGCCACCTCGCTTGGCCACCCCAGCAAGGGCCTGCCCCTGGCCAGGAGGCAAGGCAGATCTGGACACATATGGCCCTGTGAGGGGGTCACGGGCAGCGTGTCCTTCTGAGGACTGAGGTCCACAAGCAGGCCAGGACGGGGCAGACGCCTGGTGTCCCCACCCAGGCCAAACCTGTGTAAGTGGCTTCTGGCTTGGAACGTGGTTTGCCAGGTTGAAGCAACTGGGCTTTTTGCCTCTCAGTAGCATCCTAGACACCATGAAGGCCCCGGGGGCAGCCCACTACCCAGCTTTTGGCAGTGCCCCCTTGGCAGGCTCCTGGGCTCCAGGCCTGACACTCGGGCCCACACAGAGGCAGAGGGGAGCAGAAGCGGAGGGGCCCAAGGCGGATTCCTGTGCTGCTCTAGAAGCAAGGGATCCCCGAGCTGGTTGGGATGAAGACAGGATGGCAGCAGTGGCCTCCACTCTGGGAGTCCCACCCCAGGGGTAGGAATGAGGCTCGGGGTTTCCAGTAGGTTCCATACAGTCCCAGGCACATAGCCCTTTGGTCACCACAAATGTCTCCTGAACAACTGGATCTGACAACCACCATGAGGTCTGACAGGCAGACTTTGCGAGGAGCAGCTCTGGCACCCCAGCACTCCGCAGGCTCCAGCCCACTGGCTTCCGGCCGCACCACGATCCTTCAGGTGCAGTAGCACCCATGGGGCCAGCTGGGAAAGCATAGACACTGCAGAATAGAAGCCTCAACTCCATCAAAATGCTCGGAGCCTAGGCCCCTCCACACCTGGGCCCTTCCTGGGGGGCCACCTGTTTCCAGGCTACAGCTGCTCCTCCTCTTCTGAGGGCACCCCAGGTCAGGGCCCAGGGTCTGGGACACTGCCCATCCCTGCTCTGGCCGCATGGCCACGGCCTGTCTCCTGTCTCATCCTTGCAATGCCGCTGCCGCTGACCAGCACACCTGCCACTCAGCCCTGTAGAGCAGCTCCTGGGCCTGGGGCCACTGCCCGGCCCTTCCTCTGGGCTGACTTCCCAGTCCCCAAGCTGAGCAGAAACCCGGGCCTGCTCCCACATCCCCGGCACCTGTGCATATCCCTGTGTGTCCCCCGGGGTGGGCACCCACAGCATGGTACATCTTGCCACTTGCTGTGCACTAGCTGGCGCATAGTCGGGGTTGACCCAGATCTTGGTTGGATGGACAGCTCAGAGCCTTCTGGTCAGGTTTCCTGATCTTGTGTGTAAAACAGCCGGGGTGGCAAGCAGACGTTCTGTGGAGTCAGCAAAATTTTCCCCAACAACACGAGGTGAGGGCTTGGGTCACAGCCATGTCCTCCTGCTCTCACGGGGCCGTGCCCCTGCCAGAGCGTGGTCCTGCGGAGATTACACCTCCAGCGGAGGTGCGCTGCCCTGGACGTGGCTGCTGAGGCTCCGTCTGAGCTCTTGGTGGAAAGCCAGGATCCTGGCCGGGCTCTGGAGCTCCGAGGACAGGGGCAGGCCTGTGGCCGGGAGAGCGGGACCCAACAGCCCGCCCCTTGCTTGCAGACGCGGTGCAGGGAATGCTGGCTCCACAGCCACAACCGCCGGGGTCGCTGCAGGGTCAGGCACAGGTCCCACGGTGGGTGGCAGAAGCTGAGGACAAGAACACAAAGAAATGGTCTCTGCTTTTCTGCCCATCACACCCTTTGCCCAAAGGAGGGTGACGCCGGTGCCTGACATCCGCTGGACCCAGTGTCCGTTGGACTGTGGCCGCCTTCCTCCATGACAACGCACCCTCTCCCCCTCCACCGGGTACGCACAGGGGGCCCAGGAAGCTCTACCCTGAGGATCCTGGCAACTTCATCCCTCCCTGCTGAACGCCCCCGGTCAGCGGAAAAGGGGAGAAGATGGGGGCGATGTACCGGTGCCAGGGATGAGAGGGAGCGACCTCCCCACAAAGCGAGCAGCCTCTCTTGGCTGCCCACCGCGCCCACAGGTGCACCCAGGCACTGTTGCACTTGAACCCTCCCACCAGCTCTCGTCAGGCACATTTTCCTGTATGGGTGCACACCCCTGCCCTGTAGCCCCACTGCCTGAGTGTGAGCCAGGCACAAGCAGCCCCTGTAAGACTGCACCCCCAGGAAGATGTGGGTCCTGCCTTTGAGGCCTCTCTCCCTCCACTGGCCATGCCTGGGCCTCACGGGCAGCATGAGTGGAGGGCAACCAGCAAGCAGGGGCAGCAGTGTCTCTGCTCCCTTAGGGCCAGGAGGCTGCCACAGGAGCAGGAGGCACAGCACGGGAATCACAGTTGCTGGACACCTCCCCACAAGCCACGCCTGACCTGTCCCTGGCCCCACACCCCAGGGGCCCCTATACTCAGGAACACACACCTACACCTGGACCAAGCTAACAGAGAGGGCCACACACGTGCTGGAGGAGCAACCAAGAGGGGGGTGCACAGAGAAAGCTGGGAAGGCCTCCTGGAAGAGGAGGTCCCTGCACTGACTTGAGGAGATGGCGGGGTTACAATCTGAGTCCCACTTCAGTGTCCCCTACATGCCTGTGGATTGGAGCAGGTGGCCCCTTTAAGAGGTGGATCTGGGTGGGAAGCCAGGAGTTCTCCCCATGAATCTGTGATCCAAGCTGGGTCCTGACCCCACCCTGCTTGCTCCTGCTTGGGGCTCCTGTCTGGTCACGGGTCTCCTGCCTCTACCTCCCAGCATGACACAGACAGCTGTGTGGACCTTGTCCACGGCTGAGTCCATCCTAGCATTAGGTGACTGGTTATAGCAGGACTCTGCCACCTGCTACTGACTCTGCCCTGGTCAGAGACAAAAAGCCATCATGATTTAAGGCTCATGTCATTCCTGTTGGCTAGGGCAAGGGCAGTCCAACACTGGCTGCTCCCGTGGCTCACCTGGCAGCAGTGAGTGCCCACTGCTCTCTGCACAGCCAGCACTGCTGCCAGGACTTGACACTTGCTGCTCCATCCAGCCTTGATCAGAGGTCCCAGAGGGCAAAGAGGCCCAGAGAAGGTAAACGACTTGTCCGAGACCACAGAGTTAGGAAGCTGAATGGAGACCCTAAGCCAAGACACAGCACTCCAGGGTCTGCCTTGGGCTGACTCCAGCCAGCTGCTGGGCCACGTGGCTGCAGTGTCAGAGGCCAGGGTTAGGCTCAGGCACACAGGGCAAACGCTTCTTCAGGTACCCAGACACGAGGCTGGAATCTGCCTCTGTCAGAACAGGGAGCAGAACCAGGCCCCACAAGCATCTAGAGGAAGAGCCTACAGCCAGCCAAGCAGAGCCCAGGAGCAGCTGTGCAGACCACGTCAGCAGAATCAGCCCCTTCCCCTGCCCATGACCCCCAGGGAGGCTCCTCACTGCTGTGACTTCTTTTGCTGGAAGCACCAGGTTCATTTCATCTATTGTCATTCAGCAAACACTCCCTGAGCATCCTCTGGGCTGGGTGGAGGGAGTGTTCTGCCCAGGCAGCAGCAAGTGCAGGGTTTCCAAGTGTGCATGAAAGGACCACAGCTGGGCTGCTCTCTGTGCTGTCCCAGCCACGCCCAGATGCACCTCCCCATGCCAGCCAGAGCAGAAGTCAGGCAGGCCAAGGGAGGGGCAGCTCAGGTCAGGCAGGTGGACGGGGTGGGGTGGACCTGCCCACAGCCCCCAGGGAAGCCAGACAGCTCAGTGCACAGGAACCCACCTCTGGAGCATCCAGGCTGTCCTGGGCCAGGAACGTGACCGTGTACTCGGCCAGCGCTGTGTCATCGGCCATGCTCTGTGCCAGCTGGGACAGAGCGTGGTCCTCGGGCCCACGTCTGTGCAGCTCCTGCAGCAGGTGTGTGATGAGGTGGTTCCTCACCCTGCATTTGCGCACCAGGGAAGCCAGCTTGGCCTGAAGGGAGGCAGTGGAAAGCATGCGGCTGACTCCCTGCTCCTCCCTGCAACGCCATCTCCCTCCCCACAGAAGCCAAAACCCCCGGAGGGACTCCCTCCCCACAGCCCTCTCAACACTGGGGGTCGGAGCAGGCTCACATTAGCAGGGCGCCCAGGGCACTGACCTTGCCACTGCCCAGTATGCCACTGTACAGATGGGCAAGTTGAGGAGTTGCTGAGGGTACCAGAATAAAGCAGACAGGACAGGCCACATCCCTTAGCGCCTGGGTGCTCCCTTTGCCTCCTCATTTGAGCAAACCCTGCCTCTAGGACAACGAGGGTTCATTGGAGGAGGAGGGAGGCCGTGGGCTGAGCGTCCTAGTCACTGCCTGCTCCTCCAGCGCTGACAGCCTCACGAAGGATGACCATGCATCTGTCTTGTGGCTGCAAAGGTGGGTTCCGACTGACAGGGCCCTGGGCATGGGAATGACTTCACGGACCGAACGGCTCACACTCCCGATTTAACAGGCGAGGACAAAGAGGCTCCAGGGCAAACAGGGTTCTGAGCAGACCTGAGGCAGGGGCTGCCCTCCCATCCCACCTGATCCAGAGTTCAGGCCCTGCACAAGGGTCGCCCTCAGCATGTCCCAGGTCCGCATAGTAGGGAACAAGTCAGGTGCCGCAGGCCTGGGAGATCCCTGGTGCAGTTCTGATCTGCAATGCCATGGGAAGAGGTGGCTGGGTGGTGATTGCAGCCTTAGAGGGGCAGGCACCCCTGGGAGAGCCCTTGCAGCTTAGGTCCCCGAAGAAGACACAGAGCTCAGGCATGCTGGGTACGCACGGGCGTTGGGGAACTCCACATTTGGCTCCCGTGTCATGGAAAGGCATCCCCGTGCCCTGCTGGAGGGGCTGTCGTCACCGACCTGGGAGCAGCTTACCTTCAGAGGGGGCACAGCCAGGTCCGCCTCGTGCTGCCTTCTCTGAAGCTTCTCCAGCTGAAACGGAAGCAAGGGGCTGAGGCCACCACCCTGCAATCCTCTGAGCCCAAGGGGCATGGTACTGAAGCCAAGGAGGTCAGGGCTGAGGGAGACAGAGGCTGCACATGTGGATCCCCAGGCCATGTTGGTGTCACCTCTGCCTGAAAGGACACTGTCCCCGACTCGCCACAGGACCCTCTGATGGTTCCCCCCAAGCCAGGGTCCCCCAAGCTAGGGTCCTGGGGGCATAACCCCAGCTCAGCCAAAGACCTGAACTGTGACCCTGTGCAAGTCACTTCTCTCTGCCTCACTTCTCCCCGCCTGGGGAGGACAGGGAAGTCCACCTGGTTGAGGCCAGCAGGGAGGACTTGATGCATGGATTCGCAGAGGAGGGCCTGGCTGCTGCTCGGTGCTCGGTACATGCAGACTCCCGAGGCTGTCTGGGGACCCTCGTGGAGGTGTGGCTGTGTCCATCCCCCACTCCACCCTCACCCCAGAGTCTGTGCTGGCCCCTGATGCCCAAGGGATGGTAACACCATGGAGGCCTGGTCCCTCAGAGCTTACAGTTCCAGGCTCTTCCGGCTCCGTGTCCGGGACACAAGGGGCTTCAGGACAGTGACATCCTGCAGTCTCTCACCAGCGCCCCTGCCCCCCATGGTGTCTGTCCTCCTATGAGCCACCCACACCTCACACTGGAGACCCTGGTGCCGCACCCTGGCCCAATTCGTGCTGACACAGACCTGGGGGTCAGAGGGGAGGCATATGCAGAGCTCCTGGCCTCTGCCTTCAGCCCACTGTCTGTTGTGGTCACTTCCCCCAATAAAATGGGGAAAAATGTTTAAAGTGAATAAGAAAGCAAAACGTTAACCTACTGATGGGAGCCAATATTCACAAATGATGTGTTTACTAGGGCATTTATGAATGGATTACCTAGGAAACCCTTGTGGGGCAGGCATTGTGGCCCAGGAAGTCAAGCTTCCACCTGCAACACTGCATGCCATACAGCGCTGGTTCAAGTCTTGGCTACTCTACTTCCAATCTAGGCACCTGTTAATGCACTTAAAAGCAGTGGAGGATGGCTCATGTGCTTGGGCCCCTGCACCCATGTGGGAGACCCAAAACAAGCTCCTGGGCTCCCAGCTTTGGCCTGGTCTAGGCACAGCCATTGCAGCCACTTGGGGAGAAAATGTGGAAGGAAGTTCTCTCTCTCTCTGTATTACTTCTTCTCCGTATTTCCTTCTTCTCTTGAAATAACTATATTTCCAGCAAAAAATTTTTTAAAAGTCTTTATAATAGCCTAGTGACTGAATTCTCGCCTTGCATGCACCAGGATCCCATATGAGCACAGGTTCGTGTCCTGGCTGCTCCACTTCCCATCCAGCTCCCTGCCAATGACCTGGGAAAGCAGTAGAAGATGGCTAAAGCCTTGCGACCCTGTACCCATGTGGGAGACCCGGAAGAAACTCCTGGCTCCTGGTCATTGCAGCTACTTGAAGAGTAAACCAGCAGATGGAAGATCTTTCTCTATCTCCTTCTCTCTGTAAATCTGCCTTTCCAGTAAAAGTAAGTAAGTAAATAAATAAATCTTTCATATTAAAAAATCTTCAAAAAGAGAGATCTTTGCAAGCCCTTAATCACAGAGTATGCCAGGGGGAGTGAGCCGCCCTCAGAGGGGCCACCCGCGGCAGTGGACACGTGAGTGGTCCCAGTATAACTGGCAGCGAGGACGGCACCGTGGCAGCCACTGCGCCTGTGCAGCCACAGGAATGCCACATCCCAGAGCTACCCATGGCCCTCTGCATTGTTCCCCTGTGTCCCCTCTCACCGGTTAACTTCATCCCTCAGCATTTAATGTTTGTGGTGACTAGTGGAGGTGGGATTGCTTTTATTTTTAAAAAATATGGGGTGTTTTGTCTTTTTAGATTCTTTTCATCTACTTGAAATTCAGAGTGATAAAGAGAGAGAAAATTAATTCACCCACTGGTATAATTTCCCAGTCCCTAGCACAGCCAAGGCTGGGCCAGGCCCAAGCCAGGAGCCTGGAACTCCATCTGGGTCTCCCATGAGGGTGGGAGGAACCCAGACGCTTGGGCCACCACCTGCTGCTATGCAGAATCCATTAGGAGGGAACTGGGCCGGAAGCAGAGAAGGGCTGGAACAGACATTCTGCTGTAGGCGTCCCGAGCAGCGGCTTAGCCGCCTCGCCAACGCCTCCCTCACAACTGCCTTCTGAATTTCTTATAAAGACGGTCTGTCCTCGGCACTCACTAGCTGATTTCTTGGATGTTGGTTTTGTGCGCTGCAATGTTCCGGAGTTTGTTCACCAAGCCAAGCTGCTCATCTGTGGAGTCTTCAGGGCTTTTTAAGATAAGATCATGTATAATTCCTACAGATCCAATAAACCGAACAACTTCATTAGAGGGGCAAGCATGGAGATATTGCTAGATTTGCAAATGGCTGTGAGAAAAAGGGCAAGCTCTCGTCTGTGTGCCCAGTTCCCTGTGCAACTCTAAACCACCACAACCAACGTACTGAAAATGCTTAAAAACAGCAATTTTATGCAGGCCTCTCTGGTGGTGGTGTGCGTGTGTGCACACATGTATGTGAGAGAGACACAGAGTTCTGTGATGTCGGACCACGTTCAGCACCTTGTCCAAGGTCCTGAACAGGCAGGAGCTCTTCACCCTGATCTAGGTGACACCGTCAACTTGTCTCACTGCTTTCCCCTCTGGAAGGTGTGAGTCTCTTGCCACACTGGTCCCCCATGGCACAGTGCAGGTTCAAGCTCCAGGTCCCCTGCTTCTCTCTCAACCAAATTCCTGCTCAGGTGCCCAGAGGGCTATCTGGGCCTCGCAACCTTCACAGGGCACCTGAAAGGAGCACCTGGCTTCAGAATGGCCCCACCCTGGTCAATGCGACAATCAGGGAGAAAGCCAGCAAAAGAAAGACTCTCTCTCTCTCACTCACCCTGTCTTTCAGATAAAGACAATGTCACTTCTCAGTTTGCTTCCTGGGCCCTTTCAGGCCACACCCATTAGCTCATGCAGTGACTGCAGGCCCCTGCTTGTCTTTGAAAACGGTCCTACCCGTTATAGATCTAACGGATACAAGGCCACTGAGACATTCGCTGTGGGAACCTGCTGTGGTGTGGGAGAGCTGCAGGTGGGAGAGCACGTCCCGGCCCAGCCTGGCCTACCTGGCCCCGGAGCTCCTCCTGGTGCCGCACGGCCGCGTCCCGCGCCAGCTGCAGCTCCCGGCCAGCAGATGCCTGGTCTCTGAGCTGACACTGCAGGGTCAGGACCTGGTGGTGGAGGCGACGGATACACAGCCCGGGGTCTTCCTGGGTAGCCTGGGCCCCTGAGACCTGGAGCTGCAGAGAGCACAGATGTGGACGGAGGGTCGAAAGTTTTCCCCTTCTGAGGACACGCCTTGGCAGACGGGCAGCTCCCAACTTCCCTCCCTGACTCCTTGCATCTGCTTACATTTTTCTCACAATGGAAAAAAAAATGCAGACACTGCCGCAAGCCTTTATCCAGCACAAACTCCAGGCACTTCCTACCCAGCCCTACTGCACCATCATGCGTGCACTACGTGCCCGTGGGGCTCAGGTTGGCATCCTAGCATCTTCTTTCCTGTTCTGGAAGTCAGCCATCATTATCCAGACACACAGCCAGACAGAGAGGACGTGGCGGCCGAGGCCAACGCTGGAACAAAAGTGATCTGACAGCTGCCTGTCTCTATCAAACACGGCAGGATTTCCCCCAAGCACTTCACTCCAATCCGAACCAAACTGCTCCCACCCTCCTTGGGGCTAACGGGAGGGCAGCAGAGGTCACGTGGGTAGCAAAAGCAACTTCCGGCGGGCGCAGGGGGACAGAGGACAGCTCCAGGCTGGCGTAGCCTCCAGAGCGGAGGTGGTACTGCCCACAGGCCTGGACCTCCAGGCTTGGGTTTTTAACAACAGATGTGCATCCGCAATGATAAGATACGTTTCTTTTGACACCAAACTGGATTTGGTCCATGCATAGGATTTTTCATAATACACATCTTCATGAATTTTTTTACCTGAAAGGCAGGCTAAGAAACAAAAGAGAAAGAGAGCTCCCAACGCTGTTTCACTCCTCGATAGGCATCTGGCAGAGTCCAGCCAAGCCAGGACAGGGAGCTGAGACCTGCTGCAGATGGCAGGGACCGGTCGCTGAGCCAACCCCACTGCCTCCCAGGGGGTGTGGCAGCAGGAAGTTCTCATCTCAACCCAAGGAGGCCGGGGGTTAGTGGCAGGCCTGCCTAACTCCAGCTCATGGTTCCCAGACCGTGCACACACATCGAGATGGGAAACAAGTCTGTCGCAGCAAAGGGCCGACAGAATCAGGTTTTGACAGAAGCAAGGTTGGAAAGGGTCTATGGAGGCCAGCCCTGCTCTCCCAATAGCTAACACAGAAACGCTATGTCCGTTCTTTGGAGATGGCATGTTAAAGACAACACAAACACCACAGCCTGTAGTTGTGGCCTTTCTACCAGCCCCATCCCCTGGTGATCCTTCCCCAAGGTTGGGGTGCTGGGGTCCATGCGGTGGGTGTGGAGAACACGAAGGTGTGAAAAGAACTGTTCCATTGCAGGCAAGGCCGCAAGGAATGTCCCGCCGCGCCAGGGCCCAGCGGATGTCTCTACAACCACCTGAAGGCAGCTCCACCTCCCTTTGCAAGGACACCGGACAACTCCGCTGAGAATTCAAGTGTGTTCAGTCTCTACATGTAGGAACCTTTGTTTAAGGTGTTCCTTCCCCGTTGAGTCCCTGGCTGTAGCGGGAATGCATGCTTAGGGCCCTTTCCCTCTAACCCGGATCTTTAGCTCCCTCCCTCTGTGATGCACTTCCTCCCTTAACTGATTCAAGACGGAGCTGTAGGATGAGGATTGTAGTAGGAATGTGTTACTGGTTGACATGTGCCGTTCATTGAGAACTTCCTGACCACAGGATTGGGACAGCTGATGCCCTGCCTCAAGGTGAAACTATTGGCGGAGCTATCCTTAGGAATGCCCGCGTGACCAGGTGTGAAAAGTCTATGCCAAAGTGGGTGGAGACTTCTGTATAAAGAGGACAGCGTTCTTGCACGGTCCATTATGATCCTAACATTGTAGCGATCTGTTTCTTTTCTCTACACCTGCTCCAGGCACCCTTCTCGAGTTCCAAACTCGGCTGGAGCTGGTCTCTGGCACTGGGGGGAGTGCGATTACGGATCAAAGGGCAGGAGCGCCTTGAACTCTGCACTCACAGGGCCTGGGCAGGGGCTGAGCTGGTAAGAGGTCCAGTTGTAAGGGACTTGGGGGTCTGCAAAGTGAGGCTTCTCTGAAGTTCCGCCCCCTTGTCCATGTCTCCACATGGGGACCCCACATCCCTACGACAGCCAGGGCTGCCTCCTCTCGCTACCGCGGCTGACCCGGTGGAGGGCAGAGGGAGGTCAGTACCACTCCAGGGCTCCTGGATTCACAAGGGAAAACAAGCAAAAAGCAATACATTTGTGGCTTCTTTCTTTCTTTCTTTCTTTCTTTTTTTTTTTCTGATGAATAGAAATTCCTACCACATGGGCAGAGATGCCCAGCCTGGGCCTGTCAGGAACAGATGGGCCCTGAGTGGCACCAGGAAATCCAGCTCTGAGGCTATAAAACAACTTGGCCTTTCGGGAAGCTGGACACCATGATTGCCAGGGACACAAATGAGGCCTTTGTCCCTGGCTCTCAGACAGTATCCACCATGTGTTCTAGAGAGGACAGTATGTGTGGGGCCAGCCTGCTCCCTGGGACCACACTCAGCCCTTGGCCTGGGGGACAGCACCGACCCTGACCTCCCCAGGAGATCTGTCTGGGGAGGAGAAGGACTCAGCACAGCACTGCACAGAGAGCCTCCTGGAGCTGTCAAACAGACAACCGCACTCCCCAGCTGCACCAACAGCGACCCCCGAGCACAGAGCTGGACAGGTGGGTAGGGTCAGCTCTGACACACATCTGGCTGAGTCCCACCTGGAATGCTTCCCCCAACCCCCACGTGAGAGTGCCAGAGGTGCAGCCGGTCCTAGGAGGCAGGGAGGTTCAGGGAGGAGTGGGTGGGGCCAGTGGAGAATCAAATTATAACTCACAGTGTGCAGGGAGGGGTGGCGACCCCTGAGGCAGACACCCAGCATAGCTGAGTTCAGCATCCCCACCCTGAACTCCCGTCCCCCCACCCTGACTTCAGCAACCCCCACCCTGAGCTCCCATCCCCCCACCCTGACTTCAGCAACCCCCACCCTGAGCTCCCATCCCCCCACCCTGACTTCAGCAACCCCCACCCTGAGCTCCCGTCCCCCCACCCTGACTTCAGCAACCCCCACCCTGAGCTCCCGTCCCCCCACCCTGACTTCAGCAACCCCCACCCTGAGCTCCCGTCCCCCCACCCTGACTTCAGCAACCCCCACCCTGAGCTCCCGTCCCCCCACCCTGACTTCAGCATCCCCACCCTGAGCTCCCGTCCCCCCACCCTGACTTCAGTAACCCCCACCCTGAGCTCCCGTCCCCCCACCCTGACTTCAGCAACCCCCACCCTGAGCTCCCGTCCCCCCACCCTGACTTCAGCAACCCCCACCCTGAGCTCCCGTCCCCCCACCCTGACTTCAGCATCCCCACCCTGAGCTCCCGTCCCCCCACCCTGACTTCAGTAACCCCCACCCTGAGCTCCCGTCCCCCCACCCTGACTTCAGCAACCCCCACCCTGAGCTCCCGTCCCCCCACCCTGACTTCAGTAACCCCCACCCTGAGCTCCTATCTGACCCTAAACATCATTTTCAGCCCCACATCTCTCACCTTGTGGCCAGACAGGAATAGCTGCCCATTCTCCCAAATCTATCAGTATATGGGGAGCCCTGCTGTGTTATAACTGGGACACAGCATTCTCCTATTCAAAGCCCTTAAGGGCTCCCCAAACACCACAGCGTCGGTTCTCAATGCTCATCTCGTGGTGGCTTCCCAATTCCACTCCTGGTACACCCTTCCCTCCCACTGTGCAGCTGCTCTGACCACCAGCAGGCCCCTCCTGGTCCACAGCCCAACCACTCTGCTTCTGCCTGAAACCCGCTCCTCCTTTCTAACCATCCAGCCCGCAGCTCAGAGTCCCAGTTCCTCGGGTCAGGATGGCTGGCACTGGACAGCTAGGCCACCTGCTAAGATGTGTGGAAATTCTTCTAGGGGGAATATGGGCAGCCACAGCTACAGGACCACGGGCTTGAGGCCAAGGAGGGCTGGATCAGCTGAAGCACAAAAGGGGGACATGGACAGAGCTTCCCAAAGACAGGGAATATAAGGAAAACAAATCCATATCCAGAAAGACGGGGAGGGAGGGGCTGGTCTTGTGGCTCAGCAAACTGACCTGCCACCTGCAGGGTCTCACCTGTTCTATTTCCAATGTAACTTCATGCTAATATGCCTGAGAGACAGCAGATCATGGCCCAAATCCTTGGCCCCTGCCACTGCTGTGAGAGCCTGCAGTTCCAGGCTGCTGACACTGGCCTGGCCTCATCCTGGCCATTGTGGCCACCTGGGAATGGGACCAGTAGATCAGAGAGCTCCTACAGTCTCTACCCGTCCTTCTGTCATGTAAGACAAAATACAGAGAGATGGGAAAAATCGGACATAAGAAAATACCCGAGGAAATCATGACCAAGAATTGTTTGAGTCTGAAAGAAGTCACAAACAGAAAAAAAAAAAGGCTGGACACACACAAATGAAACTGTTCTCAGGCACTCCATAATCAAACCATCAGGATCCCAATATGAAAAGGGAAATCTTCAAAGCAGAGAACAGATGAATGACAATGACAGCTGACTTCTGTATGAAATTATGGGAGGCAGGGGACGATAGAACAAGATCTTTAAAAAAAACCAAGAGAGAAATTGATCTGCCTAAAATTGTACATTCAATGAAAAATAACTTAAAAGTGAGGATGAGGGCCCAGCGCAGTGGCCTACCAGCTAAAATCCTCACCTTGAACGTGCTGAGATCCCATATGGATGCCGGTTCTAATCCTGACAGCCCCACTTCTCATCCAGCTCCCTGCTTGTGGCCTAGGGGGAAAGCAGTGGAGGACGGCCCAAAGCCTTAGGACCCTGCACCCACGTGGGAGATCTGGAAGAAGCTCCTGGATCCTGGCTTTGGATCGGTGCAGCACCAGCAGTTGTGGACATTTGGGGAGTGAATCAGCAGATGATATGTTTTCCTCTCTGTCTCTCCTTCTCTCTGTATATCTGACTTTGCAATAAAATTAAAATAAATCTTTTTTTTTTTAGAGTGAGGATGAGAGGGCCCGGTGCCATGGCCTAGCAGCTAAGGTCCTGCCTTGAATGCGCCAGGATCCCATATGGGTGCCGGTTCTAACCCTGGCAGCTCCACTTTCGATCCAGCTCCCTGCTTGTGGCCTGGGCAAGCAGTTGAGGCCCAAAGTCTTGGGGCTCTGCACCCGTGTGGGGGACCTGGAACAGCTCCTGGATCCTGGCTTCAGACTGGCACAGCACTAGCTGTTACAAATCATTGGACGGAGGATCTTCCTCTCTGTCTCTCCTCCTCTCTGTATATCTGCCTTTCCAATAAAAATAAAATAAATCTTAAAAAAAATAAAGTGAGGATCAGAAAACATTTGCAAAAATAGAGCATCAGAGAATTAATCAGCAGCAAATTCTCACTCTAGGTAACACAACAGCTCTTAAGGCAGACGGCAACAGAGCCACAGCAGAATGAAGAATGAATACCACAAAAACAGTGAAGACACAGGAATTATTGCTTGACGATTGCATAAACAACAAGCACAATGACCAGGAAGGTTTACTACACATAGAAGTAACAGAGACAGCAAAAATGAGCAATAAGGAGGCTGGCGCCCTGGCCTAGTGGATCAAGTACTGCTGGTGGCCCTGACGTCCCCGAGTCCTGGTTCATGTCCCCGACGCCCCGCTTCTGATCCAGCCCCTGCTAGTGAGTCTGGGAAAGCAGTGGAGGATGGACCAAGTAGGGCCCCTGCCCTCACGTGGGAGACTTCTCTCAGTCTCTAACTCTGCCTTTCAAGTAAGTAAATTTTTTAAATTAACAATTAAATAAGTAAGAGAACGTGTGGAGCTAAACATCAGAAGGCTTCAGCATTGGAATTTCTAAGTAGAGACCAGCATTGTGGCGTAGCAGCCCAAGCCATGGTCTGCGACATCCGCATCCCATATGGGCACTGGTTCAATTCCCAGCAGGGCACTTCCCTGCTAACGCACCTGGGGGAGCAGCAGATGTTCCAAGCGCCCGGGCCCCTGCCACCCGCACGGAGATCTGGACCGAGTTGCTGGCTCCTGGCTGTGGCCTAACCCCACCCTGGCTGTTACGACCACTAAGGAAGTGAACCAGCAAATGGTAGAGCTCTCGCTCTCTTCCAAACAAATGAAAATAAATCAGTGAAGCTTCAAACAAGAGAGAGAGTGGCTATGATTAAATGCAAAGAACTCAACAACACCCTGCAGACTCGGAGGCGTCCTCAGGTCACCTGGGCAGCACATCCTGGGGTTCTTACGGGCCAAGCACTGCCCACAGAAGTGGCTGGGAAAGCAGAGGGACTACAGCCGGGCTTCTGATCCCAGATCCACACCTGCAGGACCGGGGCTGGCCCTGCCTCATCAACAGGTCGCTTGGAACACTTCTGCCCCGAACACAAAGCATGATATTCCATTCCATGCCCACAGTGGACACACCCCAGGGGAGCCTTGAGTCTCACCCACCGCACAACCCTGGCAAGTCACTCCTCCTCGGACCACCTGAGTCGGCAGGCGGGTGTGGGAATGGCGGAGGGTTTGGGGGATGGGACAGCAGCAGTTACACTCACCATACCTGGAGGCCGGGGCCTGGCAGCCGCTTCTCCTGGTCCCCTGCTCCAATGGGGCTTCCCTGCAGGCCACTGGATGCAGCCACAGCCATGGAACCAACACCACATCCGGAATTCTCCACACCTGAGCAGGGACCCACCGGCCCTGCAGCTGGAGCTGCTGTCTCCTCCTTGGGCGGCCCGTGGGCTCTGGCCATCAGCGGCCCCGAGGGTGGAGCGGCCTGGACTTCTTTGTCCACAGCATGCACTCTGCTCTCCACTCTCCCCGTCGCCTCTTGGAACGGCTCCCCTTCCCCCACCAAACGTTGCACAGCGTCCGGGCCCGCCCTGGCGGCCACGTCTGCCTCCAGGACGTGGAGCCTGCTCAGGAGGAGCTGGGTCATGCCATCCACCCTCTGGGTCAGCTCCTTGTAGCTGGCCCTGAGCCCCGAGAGGAGCGCCTCCAGCCCCTGATTCTGCAGGACCGCTCGCTCGGCAGCACCCAGATGCTCCTTCAGTTTTGCGTTTTCCTCCTCCAGCTCTAGGATCTTGCAGTAACTCTTGCTGTTGCAGTCTTCCAGGTCAGAAATGACCTGCAGGCACTGGGCCAACTCTCCCTGCAGGCGTGTGGCATCCCCCTGCAGCACGCTGTGAGGCTCCACGAGGCTGGCGAGGCCTGTTGCATCGCTCGCTCTCTGCTCTTCCAGCACGCACAGCTTGCCCTGGCCCCCTTGAAGCTTGGTGTTATAGTGAAAAGCCAGGCTCCTGATTGACTTTAGTCTAGGGAGCAGCTGGTGCAGCTGATACCTCATCCTCTTCAGGGCCCTGCAGGGCAGCGACTGCCAGTGGCCCCCAAACCCCGAGGGCCCTTCTGGAGGATGTGAGCTTGCTTCCTCCCAGCCAGACACTGGAGCTAGACCCGCAGCCTGTCCCTGTTTAACAAGGCCACTGCCCTCCTGGGGTTTTGCTTCGTTGGCACAAACTTCCAAATGTTTGTTTCCAAAAACCTGGGGCAAATCGGGCCTGGCAGTGAAACTCCCAGTCTCTCTGCAAGCCGGAGGCGCCGCCTGCTCAGGCTGCAGGAGGGCCAGCTGCTGGAAGCACGCCTCCAGCTCCTGCTCCAGTTCTTCCAGCTCAAGGGTGAACCTGTGGTGGCCTTGGCCAGCAGCCCATGGACCATGCCTGTTGGCAGAGGTAACTGATCTGGGCCACGACAGTGAGTTGCGCTTTCCCCCAGACGAAGCCCCCAGGCCTTCCCAGTCCTCAGGGTCAACCTCCTCGGGGATGTACCCTTCCTGACATGGCACCCCTGGCTCCTGTCCCTCCTCCCAGCAACGGTCTTTACACAGAAGCGGCATACTTGCAGACCTCAGCAGCTGCCCCAGCCCACACTCTCCCCTGCACCTGGCTGCTCTCTCCTGCCCTCTGGGCCCAGGCTCTCCTGTCCCAGCACGACCAGCCAAGGGCGTTGCTGTCTCTTCCAAGGACAGCCCCCCTTGGACACCCCACCCACCATTGCCGGCTCCTTCCCTCCCCTGCAGGGGTACAGAAGCCTCACCCTGCAGAAGAGGTACTGGGCACCCCTGCCAAGGCTGGGTCTTGCCCTGCACGCCCTCAAGGACTCCAAGCCCACTCCCCAAGGTCATGGCCTCCTGGCTTCCCTGACCCAGCTGCAACTCACTGCCGGGAGCTCCATCGGTCGTCTCCGCAGCCCTCCTCCGGGCCTCCTCCGCCTCTGTCCTTGTCTCAGTGGCCCCTCCTCCCCAGGCCCAAGCATCTCTGGGGAACACACGCTCGGACGCATGTGAGGACTCCTGGCAGAGGTGAAGATCCTGGCTCGCAGTCCGGGGACGGGCCCAGCCAGGGTGTCTGCTGACTTGAGCCGCACAGGGGTGCCCGGTGCCCAGCCCTTCCTCAGTGTGAAGTTCCGGGGGAGGTTGTAGGAGCAGCAGCAGGGGAGCGGGGTCCCCAGTTGACTCCCCGAGAGGCCATGTGACAGTCTGCACCAGGACCGAGGGCTGCTGGGCCGGGTTGGCTGGGAGGCTCTCTGACATCCAGGCCAGGTCCACGGGGGGGAGAGACCCTGGGGGGCCGCCGCACACCAGGAGAAAGCTGTGTTCATCCAAATCAGGCTCAGCCAGAGGAACCTGCGGGAAGCAGAGTGGGTGTGAAGCAGCCCCACCCAGCCCATGACCTCACCTCCCGCCGTTCCTGTGCTCGCTCACCCTGTGGCACCTGCTCCCCGCTCTTGCCCACAGGCCACGGCTGCCCCCAACTCTGCCCAGAAGATGGCCTCGTCCAGAGCCCTTGCAGCTCCTTCCTCCCAGAGCAGCTCTGCAGCTCTGCCACTCACACCTCTCCTCTCCTGCAGCACCGTCTGTCCCCATCAGTCATCCTCGCGTGGCCACATCCACGTTGTGCAGTGGTCCTGCAGCCTCACACCCTCACGGTGCAGTAGCCAGCAGCACGTGGCGAAGCTGGCATGTGTGCAGTGGGACAGGCGGCCGCTGGGCTCGTGAGCGCCCTCTCGTGGCCGAAGCTGACCCAAGGCACAGGAGGTGTTGCCTGGCTATTTCTGAAAAGATTTGTATTACTAACTATGCCATCTGTGCATCCATACAGGAAGGACATGAGCTGGGCGACCTAGGGGCCTCTCGGACGGGGTGTGGGATAGGCATGGGAGCCTGGCTCCCACTGTCAGCCCTCACTGCTGCTCCTGGCGCCCCAGGGCCTTGGCAGTACCTGGAGGGCTGGGCAATGGGAGACATACTCTCACACCCCTCAGCCCCTGCTCCATGTCCTGCTGCTGCCCACACCCTTCACGCACTTGGTGCTGTGCACACAGTGGAGCTGACAGGACCTGGCTGCCACCCTGCCTGCTCTGAGGCCCTGGGCCTCACCTGTTCGCAGCCCATAGGGGCTCCTGGCAGCTTGCCCACAGTCCCTGGGCCTGGCAACAGCACACGGGGGTCTAGTCCAGCCCCGATGCAGCCCCCCACACAGGACCCCTCCGTAGGCCTGGGAAGCAACGTGAACCCAGGGATTAAAGACACTTCCAGGAACAGGAGCATGCTTGCCACTAGCCACACCATCTGCCAGTAGGGGACAAAACCACAGCCTCGGGGCTCCCGCCTCTCCCAAAGGTGGCTTTGAGGGTCCCAGCTCTCCGTCAGCGTGGGCGGGTTCCAGAGGGATGTGGCTTCCAGACCCCAGGCAGATACTGAACTCCCAAAGCGCTCTGTTAACCATCGATGCCTTCATGTTCACAGTCAATGGGTTAAATCTAGGTGGAGCCTGGACCCTGGGAAGGTGTCTGAGGATGGGCCTCCAGGGAGGGACCAGATCCCATCAGGGTGCTGGGCTGAAGCCCCACAACAGGGCGGACATGTGGGCAAGGAGGAGCCTCCTGTCCACTTCCTGCCCATCTCGGTGTGCGTTCTCGTTCTCCTCTCTCTCTCCTCTCTCTCTTCTTCCTGTCCCTTGCTGCTCCCCACCCCTCTCCACTTCCCAGCTACCACGTGGTCCCTCATCGGCCATGTCCTGCCAACCCACCATCCTATTCAGATTTCAGGCTAAAGCATTGCCCCGTCTGGGACCAAGAGCCTCCAGCTGGTGCACAGAGAGAAGCCTCACTCCCCCCGCCTTCCCTCCCTAAGTGGCTGCTCTCACTCTTGGAGACAAACACAGAGCTGCCACATACAGTCTGAGGCTTGAAGACACTCCACACCCATGTCCCCACGGAGCGGGGGACCCAGGCCACTCTACCAACCACAAAGCCCAAGGGCAGGCACAGTCCACAAACCCTGTCACAGCCTCAGCATCCTTGTCTATTCAACAGGTGCACCTTTTCCCACACGCCCAGCCCTGCACAACTGGCAAGGGGAAGGGCAAACTGATGCATTAGTTCCAGCCCAGACTGGGGTTGACCTGGCAGCGGGCTCCAGAGGGGCGTGGGCAGTGGCTACAGCATAGAGATTCCATGCACATGGTCTCCAAGCTGTGCTGGGCCAGAGCTCCACTGCCCACAGCTGCCCCACTGGACACCACAGCTCTGAGTCTGAGCTGGACAGACAAGGTTCACGCTGGGCACAGGTGGGGCACAGAGCTCTCAGCTCCAGTGGCCTTGTCCTTCCAGGTACAGGCGGTCAGATAGGGTGTGAGCGAGGACACAACACCTTCTGGTCACCACAGGGTCCCCTCTGAGAAGACTGGTCCCTCTTGCCGCCCTGTTCCCAGGCTATGTCAGGTGATCAAGGGTGCCAGTCTCCATCTCCAGCTGAGCCAGAACAGCCGTGTGAGACCCTGAAGCAAGGGCTCAGCCTTTCTGCATCACTGGGACATCAAGAAGATGAAGTGAGTCCACCTGTGGTCAGCAGGTGGTGCCCCTACCCCTCTGCACCACGGCCCCCATGCACCTGTGGGGGCTGCTTGTCCAGGCATGCCATCGCTCTGGCCTTGGCTGCTGCAGAGGCCCAGCAGCTCCTCCCCAGGTGGGGGAAGCAGGGCACCCTGGACAAGGCCCAGGGATCCCTGGAGGGAGATAAAGCATTCAGAAGAGCCGTGAGTGCCAGCGGAAGCCGTGACTGGGAGTTCCTCTCTCACCCTCCCCAGTAGGATGTTGGACCATCTCAGGTCAGCAAGGCCCAAATGCTGCAGCCGGCTACCTTGGACAGTGCCCCTTTCCCTGGGCCCTCAGAGACACCCCTCCCTGCCAACCCACCCACGGGGGGCTGCAGGCTGGGCATTCCAGGGTCCCAGTATCCCATATCTCCATGTTCTCCCAGGGACCCCTGCCTGACTGCCCTGGCTCTCCACCAGGCTGGAGCCTCTTCGCACTGTCCACACCCCTATCCGTTAGAGGACCTTGAAGAGGGTTGACAGAGGGATGGGCACGGAGCACCTGCTGGAGGCAGAGCTTGGAGGCATGCTCGGCCATTGAGTTGACACACACTTGCTAACACCTGACCAGGAGCAGGTGCTATTCCAGAAGGCCACAGGTGCAGGCTGGTCCCCGCCTACCCTCAGCCCCAGCCTCCTGCCTCCCGTGCATCCTCTCCGCTGCCAGTAAGGCATCCTGCCAGACCTCACACCTGCAAGACCCCTCTCGGCTCTGGCAGGCTCCCAGAGCCCCTCGAACGCTGGAGGTCACCCACAGGCTGCCACAGCCAACCAGATCTCTTGGTCTGCCTGTCTGCCCTCAGCAGCTCCCTGCCACCCGCCCCCCCCCCCGCCCCCCGCAGTCCCCTCTGCAGTCAGCTTGGCTGCCCTCTGCCTGCCTCTGTGCTTCTACATATGTCCTTCCTGGGCCTGGCTGACACATTCTGAGCCTGCTGCCTGCTGGGCAAAGCCTCCCAGCATGTGGCTCTAGGCTGCTCCCTTCCCTGCAGCACTCAGACAGCAAGGGCCTAGGCTGCTAGCCCCGGAGCTTCCCCCTGTCCTGCAGAGCAAGCCCAGCTAAGCCTCCCACTTCTCTGCCTGTGCTCCTGGAGTAGACCTCTTGCCACCTGCCTCAGGGCCCGGCACACACAGCGGGGCAGCCTTGACCTCATTCCTGCACTCACGACCCTGCTGGCTGCCCCCTCTGGGCTCAGTGTAAAGGTGACATCGTAACCAGTGTCCCCAGGGGTAGGTCCCAGGCATACATCCTCGTGCCCAGCAGTGAGACCACCCGGCTACAAGCTGTGCCACAGCGGTTTCTGCTCCCAGACCAGGGGCCTCAGTCCTGCCCACACCAGAGTCACCCAGAAGCTCAGACAGCCAGCCCAGTGCCTTGACCCAAACCAATGGAACCACACAGCCAGGGCAGCAGCATTCTGTCCTGACGGGCACCTGTCTGTGGCTGGCCCGAAGCCCGCACCCTTCCCCCTGCTCCTGCTGTATGCTTTCCTGCCTGAAGTCACCCCAGGAGCAAGGTGGAGAAGAGGACATACAAGAAGACAAAAACAAACAAACAAACCAGAAACAAGAGGCGCTGGAGCTGGGGGTGTCCACATCTCCCACGGGTCGAAGGCCACTGTCGCCCACCCTCCACGGCGAACCCCACCTGGAGCCTATGTGGACACTCCGGCCTCAGGTCAATCCAACATGCTGAGCATGTCACACACAGGGCCGACAGCTGGGGACCCTGGCGCGGGTACACACAGGTCCTGGCCTCGCAGGGGTGACACAGGTGAACGATGCTGAAACAGTCACTGCCCCCCGTCCGGCTTGTTCCCCCTTCCCCTTCACAAGGCCCAGAGAGGGAGAGCAGCCTGTGCGAGGTCACACAGCAAGCCACGAGAGCCAGGAGCCCAGCCAAGAATCTCTCTCCTTCCCATCCCACACTCTGCCTGTCCATAGGGAGCACCCATCGCACACTCAGGGGAAAGCACGGGGCTGTGTGTGCTTGGGCATCGTGGTGACCTGCCATCCACGGCCCCTCCCACTCAGGACCCTCACTGAAACACCCTCCCATGCCCTCAGCCCCGCCCCCACCTCAGTCAAGGTCTGTCCTGCTGGTGACCCATTCCTCCGGGGACCCGGACCCTGAGCAAGTGCTCAAAGACAATCAGAAATGGGGTAACCTCCTGGCACAGCCTGGGGGTCGGGGGGAGAGCCTGGGGCGGATCCTGGGGGGAGAGCTGAGCCGCCCTACATGGGCCGAAACCCTGCCTCAGTAACCCTAACTGAGCAGCAACTAGCACTAGACTCAGGCAGCACCCACATCCCCAGGCTGGACCGGTGCTCCCCCCCCAGGGTTCACGGCTCAGCTTCCGGCCTTGCAGTAACAAGGCCATCCCTGCAGCCAGAGGCTTCCATTTCGCACGGTCAGTGGGGAGCAAACCCCTTTCTGCTTGCCCATCAAGTTCCTCACCAAGTCCCCCACAGGCAGTACAGGGCACTCTACCCAGGACTCCACAGCGGCGACGGTGGTCGTGACGATGATGGGGCGGAGACTGACCGTGGTCGGCTGCTCAGGAGGCACCAGGCCAGGCACCTTCTGTGCCAACTTTGTCACCAAAGCATTGATCACTACTATTGTCAGCCCAGTACTGACTCCATTGGGAGCACCAAGGCCCCAACACTTCAGCGGCTTGCCTGGAGCAGCAGAGCTAGGCCAGGTCTCCCTCGAGGGTGCCCACTTACACCTGAGCTGGGAGCATCACCCCACCCCGCTACCGGTGTTTAAGGAGAACATTTGCATCCCAGAGGTTCCAAACAGGCAACTCGCACTTCCTGTGTGGCTCAGCTGGTGCCAGGCGCACTGGCTGGGGACACAGCAGGTAGCAGATCTTGGCTGCACATCAGCCTGAGAAGTCTGTCCCCAGACAAAGGCAAGCTGAAACATGACACCAACGTGCCATATGGGGAGAGTGGGACTCCATTACTGCCCCGAGTGGGCAATCTACACACACACACACACAGCCAGCTCGAAGGTCAAACTGTCACCAGGGGGCACTCGTGGAGGGATTACTGCCAGTCCAGTTGGAGCCCAGTGTCCAGCTTCTCTCTGCACCTGCCAAGGGCTGAAGCAGCCCAGGGACCCTCACTAGGAGCCGACTGGAGGCACTGCCCAACCTTGGGCTTCCAGCCCGGAGGGCTGCAGGGCTTGGAGCTCTTGCGGTGGTCTCTAGCTGTCGCAGCCCCAGAAGGCAGAGGAAGGGGACCAGAAACACAGACCACCTCACAAGTGCACACCGAGGGGCAGGAGTATACAAGTGGGCAGCACTCCAGCTGCCCCAGACCGCTGCGCACCAAACCGCAGCTTCACTGGCACCTGTGGCCAAGGACCCTCCCTGGCACTCTCTGTGTGCCTTCGGAGGGTACAGCCCTGCCCGCTCGCTCTCCAGGCTGAGGACCAAAGGGGCTGGCACATAGCAGGTGCCTCCTGACCGTTAGTGCTCACTCTAGGTCTCCAGCAATCAGCCCAAAGAAACAGCAGGTAGCAGAACATACGGGATAGATGGAGGGTCTTAAGCCAAGGAAAATTACAGAAAGAATTCCAAAAGACACAAGGATGCACAATTTATTTACCAAATAATTACAAGGCAGCGGGGTAGGCATGAGGGCACCATGGTTGAAATGCCTGCTTTAAGTGCCCATACCCTATGGCTAAGTGCCAGGCTTCGAGGCCTGGCCACTCCACGCCTGAGCCAGCTTTCTCTCAGCTCCCAGGAGGTAACAAGCAGATGGCCCCTCAAGGGCTTGGGTCCCCGCCACCCACAGAGGAGACCCGGACAACGCTCCGGGCTCCTGACTTCCTCCTGGACTGTCCTGCCTGTCGTGGGCATCGGGGCAGGGGGTGAACCAGCAGATGGGAAATCTCTCTCTCTGGAAAAAGTCATGAGGTGCCAGTGCTAGAGGCGCACCTTGCTTTCATGCCAGCACAAGGGAAGGGGCGGGGACAGGAAATGCAGAGTGCAGGGCAAGGCAGTCGCCCTGAGAGAACAAGGAGAGTCCCAGGGCCAGTTTGCTCAGGAAAGATCACCCGAGCCTGAGGGGAACTGGGTGCTTTTCCTTGTGACAGGCACTCTTCTCCAAGCTAAGGCTGTGCATGGATGCTTTTTTTCCTTTAGGTGCAAATCAGCCCACGGGGAGAAGCAGAACCCAGGTGGCCCTGGGGAGGCTGGGCTCAGGTTTTATGAGCCAGGACACCAGGGGACAATGCTGTGCAGACACACTTCTAATCCTGGCCAAATGTCAATTCTGACCCTCAACAGCTATGCTAGACACTGCCTCATGCGCACATGGAGGTTGCGGCAGTACCTGCCCTCACAGCCACCTCATGCAGAAAGTAAAATGACATCTTTCAAAGCACTCAGGAAGATAGCAAGCACATGACAGGAAGATATTACCCCTAAGTGGAGGACCGATCCGGGTCATCTAGCTGGCCACATCAAGACCCATGCAGGGACCCAATGGCAGGTGCTTCCTGGGTGCTTCTGCCATGGACCCTGCCCTGGACACTGCAAGCTACACAGGGGGGACAGCCAGGAAGGACTTTGGGGACCTGCAGCCCTGGCTAGATGCTAAAGGGGCAGAGGGACACAGGGTGGCAGGTGTGCTGTCCGCTGGACGAGGACAGGAGGACAGAGGCTGGGGTACACAAGAAGCTGGGGGGCTGCAGGTGGGCAGAGCCCACAGTGGAATCCCCTGAGTGGCAGCACTAACAGACCTGTGACCAGGCCATGCGGGTGGACTCCCCCACCAGATGGAACTGTAGCTCATGGAAAGGGGGGGGGGCACAGGCCCTGGTCACTCCCCCTCTACCATCTACCTATGGAAGGACACAGGGGGCAGAGTCATCTGCGAATGATGACATTCCAGGGCCAGGGCCTTGAACCTGGGGCTCCTGGCCACACAAGAAACCTCTGCAGTTACAAAGCTGCCCCTTCCGGGTCAGGGTGGCCTGGATGTGCCAGGATCACAGACACCGGCTGGTTTGGTCAGCAAGTGGGCAGCAGGTGCAGAGGTGGCTGCGATGGGAAGGGGAGAGGATGGGCAGATGGCGCAACCGTGGGTACACAGGCGGGTAGGGAGGTAGATGTGAAACTGAACGGGTAGGTGAGGCTGTGTGCCTGGATGGGCAGGTGTGGAGAAATGGAGGAGGGACTTATTGGCCACGTGGCTGGCTGCACCGGAAAGTGAGAAGAAAGGCACGCACCACTCCTACCCCTGGCCCTGGCCACTTACCAGGCTACCGCCCCAGACAGGGGCTGCCTGGGCGCCGAGCTGCTCTCGCAGGCTCTGGTTCTGCTGGGCGAGGTCCTCGACGCGGCCCTGCAGCCCGATCTCCGACAGCTGCAGCCCAAACACGCAGCATCGCAGCTCCTCCAGCTGCGCGCGGAGCCGGCACTCGGTGGTACGCTGCGCCCGCAGCCGGCGCGCCGCCTCCTCCCGTTCCTGCTCCGCCCTGGCCTGCAAAGCGCGCAGCTCAGCCGCCAGCGCCGCTGCTTCCTCCGCAGTTCCCGTTGTCGCGTGGGCCGGAACCAGGGCCTGGGGGCTGCCCCGGGTGACGGACGCTGGGGCTCCGACATCCAGCTGGGCCAGCAGGCGACCCGCAGCGCGACAGAGGCGCCGCACGTCCCGCTCCAGCCGCTTCACCTGCGCCCGCAGGACGCGCTCCTGCTGGCGTACCAGACCCAGCTGGCGTCTCTGGGTCCGCCGGCAGCGTTCCAAGGCCACCGCCTGCTGCCCCAGCAGCTCGTCCTTGCGCCGCAGCCGCTCCCGCAGCCGCCGGGCGGTGCTCTCCTGCTCCCGGACCTATAAGTTGGCGGGGAGGAGGGGTCAGGAAGGATTCCCCCACGCAGTCGCAGTGGCTCTGGTCGTAAACACTTCCATATTGCACACACGATGCATTTTTCCATCAACTTTTTTTTGCATCAAAATATTACTTTTCTCGCTAGCTGGAGGGTTATGGGGACATCCCCTTAAATTCTGCAGTTGACACGCCGCTCCCATACTGGGCCTGTACACCCACCAGACCCCTGGGTCCTTGGAAGGGAAGTACAGCAGGCAAGACAGGCAGCAACAAGCACGGTGTGGGGCGTCCATCCAGGTGTTTGCAAAGAGCAGCTGCCAGAGACTCCAGCCTCACCACTCACCCAGAATCAGCTGTCAGGGCCACCTGGCAGCAGCCTGGCTCTTGCCTCTGCAGGCACCCTTGGAAATAATTTGGGGAGGGGTCACCCGGCAGCCCCTTTCTTCTGCCTCAGCCTTTTGTCCCGTCCCATGGGGCCACCGGCCTGTGTCCATTCTCACGCTGGTCTCACTCCCCTCCCTTGGCTGTGAGCCAGCCAGCCTGCGGGCGCACCCCAACACCCTACACCCCAGCATGCAAAATTTCTTGCTTTTCCAAAATAGCTCAGGCCAGTAGGTGCAGCCACCTCCAGGTCAAGCATTGTTTGGGGTTGCTGTGGGCAGACCCCCCCCAAGAAGGAGCAGGTTCCTAGGGTGGGAGGGAGAGGTTTGGGGAACACTGAGCCCGGGGCACTGGGAAGCAGATGACCACCTGGGGGCCAAACTCTTGGAAGCAAGCCTACCCTAGCCTGACAGCACAGTGTGCTTACTGGGTGCACCATGGCCCCCACTGGTGGGCATGCACAGATGCCTGGGGGACCCCGGGCCCCAAGCCACACACATGGGGCCTAGGAGCCTTGTTCGTGAACTCCTGCAAAACCTCTTTTCAAAACACAGATGTCTCTCGTGGATTTAGGATCGGAGGTTGGGTTTTGGGTAGTAGTGGGGGGGGCGCTTATGCAAGCCCTCCCCTGCCTCCATCACCACATCTCTGAACTTTCGCCCCTCAGCTAGAAATGGGGCTTGGCGACAGGGCCCTCCCAGCACACACATCACTGTCGGTGATAAACGGGCACGCGGGACTGAGAGCTCCCTAGCCTGCAGACACAGCTGCCTCTGTGCCTGGTCTGCCACAGCACACCTTTTCCAGATACTTCGTAAGGACCCCCTCCCAACCCGGTGCATGAAATTTAGGGTTTTTGTCCTGCCAAAAATAGTTACATTCCTATTCTGTGTTCCATGAATTTGAACAAATTCCCTTCATATAGAGGGCTATACTCAAAAACTCTTCCAGAACTTTCCCCAGAGGGCGCCTGTCCCTGGTGGTGGGGACTCACGCCCCACGGCTCTTACCCTCTCGGGACCATCCCAGTGGGAGTTTTCACACCTCCTGCGCCTGCCGGGATCCAGTGCGGATGGGGGACGGGCCTGGCCGTCCCCTGGGGCACCTCAGAGGCTCACTGCATTCTCCTTGGCCTCTTCCTCCCCCACCACTCTTAACAGTGACTCACTGCATTCTCCTTGGCCTCTTCCTCCCCACCCCCACTCTTAACAGTGACTAGTGTCCCCCCAGCTCCCCAGGGACTTCTTACCATAAAGAACATATGTGGCACCCCAGCTCCTGGCATTCACACCCACCCATAGCACCCCACAGTGCGGGCGAGGCCGTCTCTAGCCCCCTGATCTCCACATGAGTTGTGCCCCGAGTCCCACCACCAGATGCAGTTCCCATCCCACTGGCTGGCAGGGTGCAACCTGCAGCCTGAACCTCGCCCGCCCCGACCTCCCCCAGCCCATGCTCTGAATGTCCACCATCCCTGAGCCGGGAGCCACCAGAGACCTGAGCGCACCGCGGGCAGCTGCCTCTGCTCTGCGACGGCTCTCCTCCCTCCGAGACGCTGTACTCCCAACGCGGACAGTGTGGGCAAAACGCCCCCACCCCTAACTGTGAGGGCGCCGCACTGTCAGCTCACTGACCCTCACGGCCACGCAGGGCAGGGCTCAATATCACATTATTCCCATTGCATGGAGACCATTGCTACCGAAAACCACACAGCGAGTAATTGGCAAAGCTATGGCCCGGTTCCAGGGGCCACCCCTTGACCACTCTGGGGACCTCTCTAACTGCCCCCAGGCTCCTTCATGTCTCTGTCCCCAGCCATTAGAATGCTGTCCATAACACAGCCAGGTGACCCCGAACCATCCCCCACAGCCCGCGTCCCATCGCCTGCAGCTGGCCTCTCCTTCCCTCCTGCCCACTCTCCCTCTGCCCTTCTGGCAGGTTCATCCACACCTCCTCCACACTTCTGTTCCCTGGGCCCAGCATACCGTTCCCCATACAGTCCAACTCACCTGGACCCACTCCTGGCCCCACCTGCTAGTGCCCGCACAGGGGTCCCAGCCCTCCCGCCCGCTGCAGTGCTTGCACCTGCTTCCTGGCTGTCCCAGCCCCCGTCTGCAGGAGAGCTCCCTGGGGACAGGTCTGCACAGCTCCTCCTGTCTTGGCCCTGGTCCACCTCAGGCACAGAGTCCACTACAACGACCCTCTGGTGAGAGCTCCCAGCAATGCTCTCCCACCAGCCCTGCCCCAGGGCATCCCAAAGGAGACTAGGGAGGAGCGCAAGAAAGGGTGAAGCCAAGGCCACTCCCTGTACCCTTGGAAGGGGTCCCCCCAGGCCTGCCTTACACTGACCGCACATGTCCCCACCCAAGCAGGAAGAAGAGAGAATGCTGTACCCGGCCGGCCAGCTCTGTCTGTAGCGCCTGCAGCGTCTCCCGGGTGCGGAGCGAGGCACTTCTCTCCCGGACCACGCGGGCACCGAGCTGGTCCAGCTTCTGCAGGAGCCTCCTCTCTGACAGCTCCAGCTCCTGAATTCTGCAATGTGGGAAACAGCAGGGGGCACAGGTTCAGGGCCTGGGCATTAGGAGGCATGGGCTCGGGCTGGGATCAGAACACATAGATGTGGTAGGTAGGGGAGGGTGCAACGTGGGTGGACCCACTCTGCCTCCTCTGGTGTCACGACAGTGGAGCATCCCACCCACAGATGCTCTCACCCTGAAAGCAGTCACCTGCATTCTGAAAAGACTGGCTGAGAGCGACTAAGCTGAGCCACTGAGTAGGACCGTCTGTGCACTGGCCCACCTCATCGCATGGCCAGCCTGCAGGTGACCCCAACCACACGCAGGTATCGGAATCCAAGAGGTCAGGTGAGACAGGGGAAGCCCCCAGCTGGAAGTGGATGGCTTTCACAGAGCTCAACTGCAAGGAGACCCACGCAGGATGGAGGTAGAAAGCCTGAGAGGAAGTGGGACCACAGCTCCCACCAGAAGCAGAGTGAACACAGAGGCTTGCCTGTCCCTGCCTGGGTCCTGGAGCCGCCGCCCTTGCCTGGAAGATGGGAGCCCATGGCACCCCTGTGACATTCTCTGCCTGGCTGCTGGCCCCCATCTGAGCGCCCACTGGCAGACTGGCCAGGACACTCTCTGCTCCCGGGGCAATACCCTAGCTTTTCCTCCAGATCCTGCCATCCAGCCGACCTCGGGGCCCTCCTTGGACTAGCCCACCCCTGGGACCCTCACTTCTGTGTTCCTGTGTGAGCAGAGAGGCCACAGGGTGCAGCTCAGCGCAAGCCTGTAAAGGTGAGCTGCAGTACCGGTCAGCCCAGAAGGGAGGGGCGGGGAGAGCTCTGCTGTGTGCATGGCCTCAGACTGTCCCAGCTGGCCCAGAGCAGCTGCCCCTGGGGTCTCCATGAGGAGGGCTGGGGACCTGCAGGCTGGCTGTGACATTTTCTCTGTTTCTGGAAAGAAAATCTCTCCTTCATCTGTGGGACACAGGAAGAGGGGCCTACACTTGACGTTGGCCCTCTGCCACACCTATGCGAGGCTAGGAAGGACTCAGCCCAAGTGGGTGAATCCCGGCCCCCACCCCACCAAGGAGTCCCAGGCCCAGCCCCTGGAGCCCAGGGCTGTAGAGGTGATTGAGTCAAGGGCCTGGCAATGGGGCTATTCCCGGGCCACCCACGGGGCGCGGGGTGGGGGATCCTCTGCAGCCACAGTATCCTCACAGACAGGAACAAGGTGCAGCAGTGCTGGCCTCTAAGATGCAGGGAGAGCCAGGGGCCAGGGACACAGACGCCACCACAGCCACTCGACAGAGCACAGCCCCAGCCACACCTTGATGCCAGCTCCTGAGCATGCCAACCCCATAAGGCTCATCTCTGACTTGCATCATAGGGCCATCCACCTCGTATCATTCCAAGCCACCAGGTTTGTGATTGTCTGTTGCCACTGGAAACCGAGGCACACACAATTACCAAATGGACTGTGAAGGTCACGCTTCCCTGAGGAATGACCAGTTGCCACAACAGCCACCTGCAGAAGTGTGAGGAGCGCTCTGCCTCGGGAGACTCCCTTGGGGCAGCAGGTGCACCTGCCCAGGACGGCCACTTCCCCACTGCCCAGCGGACTGCCTGGATGCAGGTCCCAGCTGCCCCTGTGTGGATAGATAGGCTCAGCCACTCTGCATGACCTGTTCTGTAAGTGCTGGTGATAACACTACATTACAGTGGGTAACTGCCATGCAGTGTGGCACCGAGCACGTGGCCGTGCATTTAGCTGGATTCAGGTTGGAAGCGAACATGCATGACGCCGCCTGTGGAGCAGTGGGGGTGGGCTGTCCTCCCCCATCTCTGATGAGCCGCTGTGTTCTTTGTAGATTTAAGATTTGCACTGGTGGACGCTGCCATGGGAGGGAGTCCGAGGGGCAGTACAACCTGGCAGCCTGCCCCAGCTAGGCCAGCCCTTTCGGAGACGAGCCTGCAGCCTGTGGCCTGTGCCAGGGTTGCACAGCAGAGTCTGGCTTCAGCTCTTGGCAGCCCCGGATGAACGGGCTCAGGCCTGTTTCCTTGCAAGTGCAGCTGATACGAGCCCACCCACGCATGAGAGCACGTGGGATGCGGACAGGGGAGGGAGCCCAACTCCATGCCAGCTGCCTCTCCTCTTTCACCCCTGCCACAAATCCAGCACCCCCGTGTTACACACACCTCTGCCCCCACGCACCCCTGTCCTGCAGGCTGGGGCTCCCATCAGCAAAGACAGTAGCTCAACATGGTCAAGAACAACCTCAGGGGAGCCCAGCACAGAGGCCCCCTCCTGGCCGCCTCCATGGCTCTCCCAGTGGAGGGGCACCCCACCCCACCGCCCCGGGACCTGGTTGGCCTGGTCAGTCTCTGGAGGAAGAGTTAACTGTGCCAACAGGTGCACATTGCCCAGCTGTTCCTGCCTCAAGCGTTCAACATCCAGGGCTCAGTCACTAGCAGGGCTGATCTCTCCCAAACCCCCACCTGCAGGCCTAAGCCAGGACCGCAGCAGGTGGCCAAGCAGGGCCCTGACCGCAGGGGACTACATCCTTCTAAGAAGGGGCTCTCAGGCAGAGGGGTGGCCACACGGAGACATAGGGAGTGCTCAGGGTAGAGCTGATGGAAGGTCTCGCCTCCTCTCCAGGAGAAAGCGTGGGTTTGGAGAAATGAACTGGATCCTGTGTCCAACCCTGGGACCCTGCCAGCTGCAGCATCAAGGAAACCCCACAGAGATCAGCAAACATAGAAGGCGTGCTCCAGCGATCACAGCCACGCTCCAAGATCTCAGGTGTGTCTCCACAGCCTGGGTAAGCCACTTGAAAGGCACTTATGTGCAGGAGCCGGAGGAGCCAGGGTCAAGGCCACCAGCAGGTGTCGAGCCCCAGGGGATGCTACAGTCAGAGCAGAGGAGACCAGGGTTCCAGCCCCTCCCTCCCTGTCAGGCTTCCCACGACTAGACCCTGGTGAAGCAGAGAACAAAGAAGCCTGGGAAAGCTCAGGGGCCGGGCCCACGGGAGCCGAGCAGGAAGGACCAGGGTGTCAGCAGCGGCATCTATGTCCACCTGGATTTGCCAGCTCCCACGATCACAGCACACCAGGCTGTGCAGGTGCACACACAGAGTTCTGGCAGTACAATTACCTGCTCCTCAGCACAGACTCCAACTCATCCATGTCTGTGTCCCCAGCTGCCCACGGCTTCTGCTCGGAGGACTGCTCCTCAGGCACGGCCATGTCGGGGCAACCAGCTGCTGTCTCTGAAAGGCAACCTTGCCCCTCGCCAGTGCCCTCCGCGTCCTGGAACACCCAGTGTGTGTGGACCTTCACAGTGACTGTGTCAAAGCCCTCACCACTGGGCGTCTGGACCACGTAGCTGAAGCTCTTCTCAGTCGGACCTCTGGCCGTGGCTGGCTCCATCCCGCAGGTATCGTGTGGGGCGCAGCTCTGATGAAGTGAATTTACAGCATGGACCGGAGATGTGGAGGTGGCCACAGGAAAACACAGAAAAATCCTCCGAGGAGGCTCGGGGCTGGTGGATTATTCATGAGCAGTGCCTCGGTGTCCCTCGCACGAAGGCCATGCAATATGCATGAACGCCTCTCGTCTTGCAGGCCGGCCTGCCCAGGCTCCCTGCAGCAAGAAGACAGAAATCCCACTTGGAATTAAATGCCCCATGAGGCAGACAAGGAGGAAGGGCTCCGGGAGAGGCAACCAGAATGTTGCCATCCTCTGCAGTTAAAGCTGCCTGGGTGTCCTCCCTGCAGTGAGCTGTGTCCCAAACTTCCTTGAGCCCAGACCCTGCTCATGGAGGACTCGGGCCTAGACGAAAGGCCTGGGAAGTGAAGCTGCCTGGGGCACCACTTGTGCCCCAGGGTCCTCCCATGCCTGACTGATTCTGATTCTCCCCAGGGTCCTAAGAAGGGAGCATTTATGGGTCCATTTCACAGATGGTAAGGCTGACACTTGAGCAGGTGGAAGGGTCCTGCACAGTCAGGACACATTTCTGAGTGTGACCTGGAATTATGGAGCCTGAAGCCCAGAAGAGGCTGAGGCTCGGAAATCCCAGGAGAAAGGACTTTCAGATGGGCACCTGTGGGCGTGGACCTACTGGGGCAGGAGCATGGCAGGTGACAGGAACAGAGGGACTGAGCCAGTGGGCACAGGGAAGGGGAACTGGGGCTCCCGAAGGTGCAGACCATATCCATGCAGGTCTCAAAGGCTTCAGTGTCTGTCCGCTGGACAGCGGGGTGACCCCAGGGCCAGCCAGACCAGGAGGCATGGAGAGGACAGGTGCCACAGGCGGGCCAGGGCGGAGCGACATACAGACGGGCACGAGCTGGAAATGGGTGCTCACAGCACCTTGGTGAAGCTGGGAGCATTGGAAGGAAGCTGTGAAGTTCCTGCCTCAGCCCTGAGCAGTCGGCCCCAGTGTCGGGGGCGGGTGGGGGTGGTCCCAGGCCCTTCCCCCCAGGCACCCAAGCCCACACATGCTCCAGTGCCTTCTGTCATAGGCTGTGTCTGCACTCGGCCTCTCCCCCAGGCTTCAGGTCTCCTCCAGGTATGGAGTCACTTGTAGCCCGGTCACCTCCATGGTACTCCAGGATACCTTTCACGAGGCGCGGGCTGCACAGACGCTGGCGCATGCGCTGTGCTGCTCAGGAAATCACGCCAAGACAAAGCGGAGGGGCCGGCAGAGTGGTGCAGGGGGTTCCACCGCCGCCACCGGAGACGCCCATATGCCGTAGCAGTCCCACTTCGTTCCCCATCCACCCATTGCACGCACACACCCTGGGAGGCAGCAGGTGAAGCTCTACAGATGTGGGGTTTCTCCCACCCGAGTGGGAGACCCAGGTGGAGTCTGGGCTGCTGACTTCAGCCAGGCGCATGTGGGGAGGGAACTAGCACTCCCTGTCTCGTTCTGCCTCTCAAATAAGCAGAGTTTGAAAGGCCTGCACCTGTTCCAGACACAGCATCTTCTCCCCTATAGAGGGGGAGTCTATGGTTACAGAGGGCTGACAGCAAACCCTTCTAGAAGCTAAACAAGCCTTTTGCTGGTGAAACCTGAGCACTCAGCTCCCATCCCGGCCAGAGGAGGTGGCCTCAGTGGCAGGTGCCCGACTCCACGTGGCTGAGTTTCCTCCTGCCATTAAGACCGGAGCTTGCTCTGTTCCGTAGGAGAGGAAGGTGCACAGAGGAAGGCACCCAGCTGAGCCAGGCCCACACACGGCACTCAATGTCTTCTGGTAATGTGGGCCTCGTGATGACAGGCCCGGCTCGCCCCGACTTTGTTTCCTGCTGCCCAGGAAGCCACGGCCCACCCCTGAGCCACAACCACAGCCCCAGAGGGTGGGGTGCGGGGCGCTGCTCACCTGTGCACTGGGCGCTGTGGAGGAACTGAGTGTGACCTTGGCCATCATGGCACCAAGGCTCCCAGGCAACGGGCAGTTACAACAAGGCTGGCTACCAGCAGGAAGTGCCAGCAGGGTCCCTCCTGTGCTTGTTGGGGGACCTTGTCCCCTTACACCTGTGCCAGAGAGAATGGTCCTGCTCTCCCCACCCCCGATGGGCTGTGCGGATGCTTCTGCAGACAATTCGTGCCGCCTCTCCTGCCAGCAGCCTTGGGCTCTTAGGGCTTGCAGAGGGCTCCTGCCCTGGTGCTCCCAGCAGACGCTTCAGGAGGCGAGGCTTCGGGCCTGTGATTCTGGTTACCCAGAGCTGCAGGCACCATCCCGGCTGTCACAGCAGGGAGGTAACCAGGCTGCGAGTGACTATACACGGTCGGACTTCCAAGCCAGGGTGTCCAGGGTGTTTGTGTGTGTGTGTGCATGTGTGTGTCCGTGTGTACGCGCACTGAGCAGATGGGAGAGGCACACTGTCCCAGGGTCTGTTCTCCAGGCAAGCACTTCAGTGCATGGAGACTTGGCCACCAGCTGTTGGGTGGTCCCTAGGGCTGGGGCAGCACAATTTGGGGTGAAGCATTTGGATTCTAAAACCAGAAGGGGTCATTCTTGGCTGGCTGGATGGTGGTCTCTGCCCAGGCCTCCCACCTGGTGGGCACACTGGGATCCGTTCTTCTGTGGGGTCCCCTTCCCTGCCCCCAGCTCTCCTCCACGGCTCGAATTTCTTCGTTTATTGTCTCCAAATTTGTACTCATCAGAAAGTGCAGGATCAGCTCCTTCTGCACCAGAAAAATGGAGGGCGGCACTGCCCTCGGCCGGCAGCGGCCCCGTCTGTCCTCTTGGTCAGTGCTTCTTTCCCCACGTCTTTCTGGAATCTTCCCTTCCCCATGTTGCGGATGCAGCAACAGCAGGCGTCACCTTCTGTGGAATCCCACTCCCAATCTGTGGTGACAGGCCAGCAAGGACGTCCATCAGCCAATAGCAACTTCTCCTCCCCGGGGTCTCCTTGGGACTTAAAGTTCACCAGCCAAAGCCTGACCGACCCCCTGCACCTTGGCGGGAGGCCCCCAGCACCCACAAGCCTCCCAGTGGATTCAGGGGCTGGCTTCCAGCCGCACCAGGAGCCCCAGTGGCTCCAGCAGTGCCGGCCACTTCCCATCCAGTGTTTCTTCTCCAGCATCCCCTTACAGGTGACAAGCAAGACGTGAGCCAGGTCCATGTGGGTTCTCCATTCTGCTGCTTCTGAGATGTCCAGGTTGGACCAACGGGGCTTGAGCTGGGCTTCAGTCACAAGGATACCTGCAGGCTGCAGGTGGACAGAGAGCCAGCTCAGGAAAAGTCCTGGTGGGCACCGGGAGACAGGCGTTGTGGAGGGGACAAGGTCCCGGGTCGGTCCCTGGCCAGGGAGGCAGCTCTCTGATCCTTGGTTTCTGGTAATTGCACTTACGTTTCCTGTCACTCAGGTTCCGGAAGGCGCCACCCCTGGGCCATAACCCCCCTGCACACAAACACACCCCGACCCCTTTGGGGTGCTCAGAGTTCGGGCCCGCCACACCCAGCCCCCAGCAGGTTTCCCCCAAAAGCTGTTGTCAGGTGGGCGTGGATTCTCCGGCGGCTTGTGGACTTGGAACAAGTCTGCACTTGCTGCTGGATTTTGGTTTCGAGGAGGAGAGGGGGTGGGGGTTCTCAGAGTGTTCCATAAATTCTTCTTTTGTCCTATAAGATAAACAAATAGCCTGAGATCTCTCTCACACACACACAGGTTACAGTAGCTGGAGGAACCCCTGGATCACGTGCCCTCCACCCTCCACAGAATTGTCCTGAACCGCACCCCGGCTGACCTGAGGCACAGGGGCAGCAGTCCCAGGTCATCTTGACCCCAGGTCCCCACACCAGGGGACCCTTAGGTCTGAGCAGAAGGGAAGTAGTTAGGACCTAATTTGTCCTCTGAGACCTGAGACCACCCCAGCATCCGTTCCCCAAACACTGAATAAAGACCTGCTATAGGCTAAGTCTCTGCCCAGCCCTGCGGTACAGAAGGTTCCAGAATAGAACCCTCCTGGGCAGGCGCCGGCCTCGAGGATGCCTGAGGACCTCCGGCCCTGGCTTCAGCGCTCAGCCCAAGGATGTCCAGGACCCTAACCCTGACCTGGGCATTTGCACAGGGAGAACAGAGAGACTCAGGTGACAGCAGGTGATGGGGACGCCAGGGCCCCAGCGTCACACCGAGATCAGCTGTTCTGACGGCTTCATTCCAGAAGTTTCTGAGGACAGACACCCTTTGAAGCTAAGCCTGGGCATAGGGGTGAGTTCCCTTAGCTCTCTGCACACAGGCTGTGGTCTGGCCTCACACGGGGTTGCCCACCCCCTATCCCCTGCAGACTGCCAGTCCAGGGTGCCCACTGCCCAGGATTCTGCACCTTGCATGGCCCTCAGCGAGTGCCGGCAATGACCTGTGAGGACCCACTGAAGCCCCTTGGTGGGAACAGGCAGGAGGCCAGGATTCTGGGGTCTAGTCACCTTGCCCACCAGGACCTGCCCCAGGGGTGGGACTTGCAGGAATCCCCTGGGCAGCAGTGTGAGCCCAGCACCAGGAGCTTCAACCCTTAGGGCCAGCAGGATCCCGAGAGGGCCGAGTGGCTCCTGTCTGGTCATTCCTTGGCTTTCCCAGGGCCAAGATGAGAGTACCAACCTGCGTTCCCAGCTGGCGGGCATCGTCAAGGCCACAGAATGAAGGCTAGCGAGAAAAACAGAAACAGGAACAGAAACTATAAAATAAGACCAAACGAAAACGAGAAGAAAAGACAAAAAAAAAAAAAAAGAAGAAGAAGAAGAAGAGGTGAGCTGCGAGGCAGGGAACTTGGTGACAGCATTTCACGAGGACGCGCGATTCGACAGGGCAGGGCTCAGAGAGGGATGGAGGGAGCGGGGCTTCAGGACACCCTCTCCAGGGCCCCACGCCTGGACACCCCCGACCGGGAAGGACTGCCGTGGTCACGACTCCACAGGGCCCGGTCTCCCTGGCTGCCCAGTGCAGACTGGTGCATCGGACACTCAAGTCCAGACGGCCAAGGCCCTAAAGATTCTTTGTTAGCCAGTCCTGCGGCCAACACAGGCCCTGCCTTGTGTTCTAACAGCCAACAACAAGCAAGAAAAAGGCCACAGGCCCCCACACACTCACGAGCTTTCCCCCACTCCAGGATTGTCCTTGGTTGAATTCGGGGTCGAGAGGGCAAAGGGTTGCATGTGCTGGGGACTGTGGCACAGCATGTTAAGCTGTTGCCTGTGACACAGCAACCATGACTGCAGCAAGGAGAAGCTCGCAGCCACTGTGCACTGTGCTGGCTGCAGCCCCTCCCGCTCCATCGTAGCCTGTCCAGCGGCCACCAGTCGTTTCTGCTGATGGGCAGGTACCTACTCACACCCTCACCCAAGTCCGCCCCAGCCAGCCCTTGGCTCCTTACAGTAGCCTTGGGCTCCAGTCTAGGCCAGGGAGGCAGGGGGAGTCAAGGCCTCCCCTCCACACACACTGAGCTGGGAAGAGCCAGGAAGGTGGACCAAAGCTCCACACAGGCTCTCCCCTCAAGGACACAGCCAGCATCAGCATGTGTGTCTCCAACCTGCCAACATGGAACCTGCCAATCATCAGCAGCAGCTGCGGCCGAGGTCTGGCCCTGCTTGCTCTGCGACCAGACGGAAGTCACACGGCCACCAGGGAGATGGAACGCGGGCAGAACCCACCCGCCTGGTCTGGGCCTAGGGCCGAGAACTCTCAGCACCTCCACCTAACACCGGCCTCACAGGCACTCCAGGAGAGGGGCAGGCACAGGCCAGGCCCAGGTAGAAAAAGGCCTGGGTAGGGAAGACCCCCACCCCAAGACCTTAGGGCTCACCCAGCCCCTGGGTCTGCCTGCAAAGTTGCCTTGCTTGCCCGGCACTTTGTAAAGTGAGGCAGCCTGTGGTCTGCACCGGCGCTGGGAGGTTGCTGGGGGGGGCCTCAGGCAGAGCCCCCTACTGCCCCCAGGCCTGGTTGTCCAGGCCGCAGAGCCCCGAAGCTGCAGGCACACGGGCGGCTCGGTTCCTTGGGACCTCCGTTTTCCCTCGCTTGGTCTCATGCGCCTCTCACTTGCTCTCGCTTTCCGTCTCATGCTGATCCCCTCAAGGGCAGCGACGGTCACCCATCTCTGGGAAGCCCTGAAATCTGCCTTCTAGTGCTTTCTGGTGACTCCCTCTCTCCCACAAGAACAGCCCCAGACTCAGAACCCACAAGTGTCCCCCCATTTTGTTCCCTGGCCTGCTTCTCATCACACCTGGAGACCCCCACGGGGCTGCCCGCTGGGTCCACTGGCCAGCGGACCCCAGACAGGTGGGCAGCCACCCTGAGCCTCATGTCTGAGATGTGAACCCTGACACAGTGCCTCTCAGCCTCAATGAAAACAGGAACAAACTCAGAGGTGCAAAGGCCCGAGCGAGCCCAGGAGTCCCCTGCTGCCCCCTCGCAGCTGTGCAGTGTGGACACAGGTCCTATCCCTGCTCACCCGTACAATGGTCCTGCCTGCAGAGAGCTGGGGCTGTGGGGACAGGCTAAGAAGCAGCTAAGAGATGGGTGGGCAGTGGAGGGGGGCAGAAACTGCACCTTCCGGACCCTCCCAGGGTCACTTCACTGACAGGGTGCTCGGGAGACGGCCCGGCCTCCCTGGACTCATCCTCTGATAAAGGCACCTTGAGCTTCCTGGAGGGTGGCAGCATGGGAGTGGGGGAGGGCGTTGGTGGAACAAGACCCACACACGTAGGCACACACGTCCCATGTGCACACAGTCTTTCTCATACATGCACAATACCATACACATGTGCACACCTCTCACACATGTAGTCCTCCGACAGAGACACACATGTGTGCACACCTCTCACACATGTTCACATGTAGCCCTCCAACAGAGACACACACATACACATGTGTGCACACCGCTCACATATGTTCACATGTTGTCCTCCGACACACGGAAACACACATGTGTGCACACCTCTCGCGCATGCTCACATGTAGTCCTCCGACACACAGAGACACATGTGCACACCTCTCACGCATGCTCACATGCATACATGTCACAGCTCACACAGGTACACACATGTCCATGTGCGCACAAACACGCTTACATGCCTGCATTGTAGAACCTGTAAGAAGGAACCTTTAGCAGAAACTATTCAAGTCAGGTGCTGAGTCTATGGAGACGGACCCACTTCTCTGGACCTCAGCCCTGGCAGGGAAACCCTTGCACTAAGGCCTCACGGACAGGACGCAGAAGCCAGCCCCACATGGCCAGCACCCAGCGGGCAGCGCCCGGCACCCAGCGGGCAGATACCTTCTCTTCCAGCTCTTTCAGGTGCCGCCTCTGAAGCTCAAGTTTGTCCTCCAGTTCTCGGATCCTCTGAAACACATCAAGCCACATGTCAGCCAAGCAGACAGGTGCCCATGATCAAAGTTTCATGCTGGGCTTTTACTGAGGGCTGCAGAGGCAGCCACATGTCCCAGTCCTAGCACATGGTCCAAGGCAGCTTGATGGCTCGCCGGACCCTGCCCACCTGGACAGCTCTTGGACAGCCCCTCGAGGTCCCCTAACCCCAGGCTCCCGGTTCTGCTTCTACCGCTAAGATGAGCTTTGCCTGTTCTTGAAGTTCATGGAACTAGAAAGGTGAAATATCCTAAAGATGAGATATTTTAGAATGCCACTGGCCAGAGCAGATGGAAACACACAGGCACGTGGGTAGACTGATTCAGGTCTTGGATTTTAGGTGGCTCCAATCACACATTCATCCGACATTAATTAGCCAGGGAGCTGGGGGTGGGGGAAGGGCAGGAGCCTGCAATCTGCAGTGTCCACACCACCCCTGCTGCACTAGGTGACCTCCACCCGCTTCGCTGGGGAGTAAGAACTCTAGCAATGCAGGGCAGTTGGTCAGCCCTGGGTCCTGCGCCTGCCGAACCACCCTTCTCCTGTGGACTCTGTTCAGTGGGCTTAGCCACACCCAGCTTCCACTCCCTTCCATCATGGTCCTGCATGGCCTGCGACATCATTGGCAGGCCATGCAGGACCATCAACTTAAACATCAGCCTGCGACAAATGTGCCGACTCGCCAGTCCCACCTGCAGCTGCCGACCGGGGGCATTGTAGGCCTTGTGTGTCCTGCAGGCCAGACCGGCCCATCCCCCAAGATATAAAGCAACCGCTGCCGTCCTCTTCCGTTGCACATTGTCAGGAGTGTCAGGACCTGCCCCTCTCCATGCCAGGCAACACATGAAAATCCCACAAAGCATGGGATCTTGGAGTACACTGAGGCTTCCAGAGGAACCCACAAGTCCAGCGCCCAGGTCCCATCCCCAGCCAATTCTCGTCCCTAAATATGGTGACCAACAGCTGACCCATGCCACGGGGCAGGGAGCTGGAGAGAGAGGGGCCGGGAAGAACTGGTTCATGTGCAAGCCAGCCGCAATGTGGGCTAAGCATGAAGGCTTAGCTATAGTGCCCAGGTGGACCTGCCAAGTCCCATCACAGCGGAGAGAATGCACCTGCTGAGTTACAATGGCATCTGCATGCCCAGTGCATCCCAGAAACCAGCCTGACCATCATCCTGACCCCAGTGTATGTCCCCAGGAGTCACATGCCCGCCTCACCTGCTGGGCCTGCTGCAGCAGCTCCATGCGCTCCCGCAGGATCTGGCTGTCAAACTCGCGGCTCTGCCGCAGGATCTGCCTGCGTACCTTCTCCACGGCCGCCTGCAGGTCCTCCCGCTGTCCGGGGCTCAGCGCCTCACTGGCCCTGCGGCCCGGCTCCTGCTGCAGTGCCGTGTAGAGCGTGGCCTCTAGGTCCTGGATTTTCTGCATAGCCCAAGATGACACTGACAGCTGAGCATCACCCGGGGCAGATGGACAGGCACTGCAGGGGAAGGGTGCATGCAGGGGCCGACGGGGGGGTCAGCTACACCCACAGGAAGCAAGTGGGTGGCAGGGCCACGAGCCATGCCTCCGCTGCCCACCAGGGATCAAGGGCAAGAAGTCACAGTGACCCCAGGAGAAGCCACCAGGAGTTGGTCATTGACCCCTGGCTTCTAGCCAGAGCCAGCTCAACCCCTCTCCATTGGGCAACCCCAAAGCTGGAGGCTTTCCAAGTACGTTACAGGCAAAGCCAGCCCTCCGGGTATCCCTTGAAGAAAGGGACAGGGACCTTTGCAAACCACCTCCATCATGGGAGTCTTCGCCTGGCCTTTAGCAGACCAAGACTTCACTATGTGGCCTCTGCTTTGCAAATAGTCTGGGGTTCCCACACATTCATCCCTGGCAGGAGGCACTGTGGGGAGCCCCATGCCCCATGGCCTTTGTAGGTAGACATCCACAGAAGGACCACACCTGGAAAATGGGGAGGGAAGACCCAGGAGATCCAAGGGGCAAGGACAAACGGGAACATGACAGTGTGGAACACGGAGAGCGAAGGCTGGAGAAGCCAGCACCCACTCAGCCTCTCCCTGCCCTGCAGCTTCTGCAGGGGCACCCAAGGCCCCGGGGAGGCCGAGAGCCTCCACGAGGCATCCACCTGCACTGAGCCCAGCTGTCTGCTCTCCGTCCTGCTGCTCTCAGGAAACCAGGCTTGGAGGGTAGACCTTAGTTACAGCCTCCGCGCCTCTTGTGTGCAAACACAAATAATTCCTTAAAGCATTTATTTACATTTCATTTGAACAGCAGACAGATCTTCCACCAACTTGCTTACTCCCTAAATGTTTGCAACACCTGGGGCCAGGCCAGGCTGAAGCCATGAGCCCAGAACTCTGTCCAAGTCTCAAGTGGAAGGCAGGGACCCAAGTCCTTGACCTGGCACCTGCTGCCCCCCCTCAGCGGAGGGCACATTAGCAGGAAGCTGGATCACAGGTGGAGAATCTGGGATGGGAACCAAGCACTCCAACGTGGAATGCAGGTGTACCAGCAGCAGCCTAACTGCTCCCCAGATGCTCACCCCAGAACAATGATTTTTAACAGCAAAGGATCTGGGCGAAGACCTACCCAAGACCTTGTCTTCCTGCAAGGAATGGCGCCAGACTCTAAATTCTCCCCCACGCAGCACCCCCATGAGGTTCCAGTGGACTTGGAACAAGTGGCCACATGTATGGCCATTCCAAAAACAATGAGCCAGGGGCCACTCAACCCACGGTCTCTGCCTCAGTGGGAGCACCAGCCTCTAGCGTGGACCCGAAAGAACCAAAGTGTCAATCAAACCCACTTCTGGTCCTACCAGGTAAGCCTGGTCAAGGGCTTGCTTCCTATAGTCCAGCTCCTCCTCCAGGTAGCCCTTCTGCCTGCTGAACAGGTCCTAGAAGACAGGGAGGGGCCGTTGGGGAGGGACAGTGAGATGGAGAATCGGTGATGGCATCACTAGAGGACCGGTCTCGCTGATTCAGGACGAGGGCCTTGGTTGTCCCAGCATGCCCTACAGCATGAGCTCTTCCAATGGCTGCCCCGTGTGACTGCCCAGGTGAAGCCGGGTCAGGGGCTCTCTGGACTTGTTGAGTGCCCGGCCGTGCCACAGAGAGAGACAGTCCCAGGTCCAAATCGCAGGGCCCTTCCCTGGTTGCCCTGGCCAGGCTGTTGGCCCTGACACTTCCTTCTGCCCAATGGCCTCCCACCTTCCGATGGGTCCCCCACAAACCAGCCAACTGGTGACTAAACCACCTCCGGGGAGCCAAGGTGCCAAGCCTGGACAAAGCTGGGGTAGATGCCGGTGGCCTCCAAGGGGAGCCATTTGCAGAGACCATGCACGGTGCTGCATCAGGCCATCACCACAGATCACACACAGGCAGCTCCAGGATACCTGCCAGCACACTGGGGCCTAAGCCATCCTTATCGCCAACCCCAGCAGGCAGAAGGACTGCTTCTAATCCTCTCATGTGACCCTCCTCCTGCCCTGAGGCTTCCTCTTGCCTCCACCTCCCTGGATGGACCCCACGGCTTATCGCAGCACAGGTACACCATGGCCAGGAGCTCCCAGCTTAGGTGGGCACCCTTCTTCCTGGTGACACTCACTGTTGTTGGCGGTTAGGATGACCAGGAGTACTGTGGGAGTCTCCTCCCCACAGCCCAGCAAGGCCCAGGCCACTGAGGAGAAAGTCAGGGTCCATCAGCCCTGTGGCCCAGCTGAGTGTCCCGACCTCCTTCAGCCTGTGCTGGTGTGAGCTGTCAGCCAGGACCCAACAGAGGCTCCCAAAGGATGCATTAGGTGAGTGAATGAGAACCGATGATGCATACTGAGAACGGCCACTAGGGGGCGAAATTCCAGCTCCTCCCGCCCTGCACCCCTGAGCCCCAGTGGGGTATCTTACCTTCTCCTTCTCCAGGTCCAGCATCTTTTGAGTCAAGGCCGCCTCAGTCCCCTCTATTTGCTTCAACCACTACAAAACAGGGTGCAGGAGGGTGGGGCAAATGAGCACTGGTTCTTGCTGGGGCATGAGCCTTCCCAGCCACACAGAGGCCTCCTTTTCATCAATGGCAGGCGTTGGATTAGGGATGGGTGGGGTAAGAGTGGGGTAAGAGATCCACATGCACGGGGGGCTGTGGTTGCGTGGGGGCCGCGTGGGAGGGAGGCTGTGTACGTTGACAGCGAACAGCTCCTAAAGCGGCCCAGGTGAGCACAGTGGGCATGCAGGTCAGGCAGCAGTGCCCAGGGCTGGGCTGGGCGAAGGCAGGGAAGCAGGTGAGAGCAGGGGCCACCACAGACAGGGTGAGAGCCAGGCACCGGAACGGCAGGTGGTTGAGGGGTACAGGCTGGGTAGGCGCTAAGGCAGCCGAGGGCTTGGGTGTGCCCTTTCAGCAGCACTTCAGATGGAGGGGGAGGAGATGTGTGTCATGGGGCCCTGCTTGTGGGAGGAACTAGGGGACAGAGGCGTATTCTAGAACATGGAAAGGCTGCCCTCTGCCTCCCAGCCACAGAGCATCCTTTCGGTGGCCATGCAGCCAGATCCCGGGCCCCATCTCCACCACCCTGTCCCCTGCTGTCTGTCCCTGCCCCTGGACCCTGAGGCTCCCACAGCTGGCCACAGCGCTCAGCCACACTCAGCCACCCTGTCCCCTGCTGTCTGTCCCTGCCCCTGGACCCTGAGGCTCCCGCAGCTGGCCACAGCGCTCAGCCACACTCAGCCACCCTGACCTCTTGGTGCCCTTGGCCCTTCCCTGGGGCTCTGCCTCCACCAGGGGCATGGGATCCCACCCTCCCTCAACGTCTCTGCTCTCTCTTATGCAGCCCCCTGTGGTCCGCGCCCCATGCACTTGCTGCCTCTGGCACACTCCGAGGCCTCAAGGAGCCTCCTCCAGGACTCTCTGGCCTCCCAGCTCAGGGGGATGCAGCTGGTTCTTCCCTCCTAAGACCAGCACTCAGCTCAGTCCCTCTCTGGTCTGCCTCCCTCCTGTCCCCGCCCTGGCCTGGCCTGGCCTGCAGACAGCATATCCTCAACTCAATTGCTAGAGGACCTTCCCTGCTTCCACTTGTAATCCTGCCAGGACACCCTCTCCCCCTGCCACAAGGCAAGCCAGCCCAAGCCCTGGTCACACCCCTGCCCTCCACTGGGCTCTACACTTATGGGAGCACACCCACCTCAGCCTCTCCCCGCTCCAGCCTCAGCTTGGGCCCTGCCCAAGTCAACAGCCCCAAGGGAGCTGTCGCCCCCTCCTAGAAGCTCAGCCTGCTTCCTGTGTCCATCTTGCAACTGTCCAGTCACTGTGCCCGCCTGGAAGATGCTGCAGTTTGCTTCCCTCCCCTGCCCCAGCCTCCATGCTGGGGCCCACTGCACCTGCTCTGCAAGCAGAAGGCCTGGCACGCAGGTCTATTGAATGGAGGGGGTGTGAGGGCGTGAGGGGCGGCGGCTCTATAGGAAGAACAAGAGTTGGCAAAGCTGTGGCCACACAGGCTCACCCCAGAGACTTGGCCCCCAGGTGCTGACCGGGCAAAGTTTCATATTCACTCACACACAGAGCCTTGCAGGCACCCAAGCCCCACCTACCCACTTCTGCCCAGGACAGAGAGACAGAGTGGTCCCAGGCACCCCAGGGGCAGCCAGCCACCCAGTCTCTCTCCTGGATCTTCCATCCAGACTAACAGAAGAGAAATTAGGAGAAGGCTCAACAATGGGGGCTGGTGTTGTGGTGTAGCAAGTTAAGCCACCAACTGCAACGCTGGTATCCCCCGTCAGTGCTGGTGCAAGTCACAGCTGTGCTGCTTTCCAGCCAGTTCCTGGGTGACTTGGAGAACGCTGAGCCCTGGGGCCTGGTTGCACGACAGTGTCTCTGCAGGGTCCCTGTCCCCTGGCTGAGCTTCTCTGCAATCCCTAAGCAAGAATCATGCCTCAGGCCCCACCCCCTGCACCCTCAAATCCCCAGGGCAACTAGCCCCACTCTCTAACATTTAGAGCATTTGTGCAAGGCGCCAGGCAAGTCTGTCTGTCCTGGAGGCTCGGGGTCAGCAGTCAGCACAAGGCAGGACAGCAGCCGGGGCCAGCAGGGCTGGCCTAGTGGGTGGTAGCCACATTCCAGACGGAACAGGATACCCACTGCAAGGAGGAGGAAGGAGTTTTGGTGTGGGGAATCCCATCAAGAAGGATTTGGAGGGGGAAGCAGGCAGCGTGGCCTGCAACCTGCTGCCGGCTGTGGCCCCTCAAGCCACGCAGCCCTGGAGCCTTCACCACATCAGGAAGCGGGGCATGTTCCAGTAAGATATGTGGTGTCCCGAATCCCAACACTAGCCCTGTTAGCACCCCAGCTCCAGGAAACTGGGGGACGTGCGTGCTGAACCCCTTGCCATTGGTAAGGGGTACGGCTGATAGAGAAGCCGGGTCCTAAGGAGCCAGGCTCTATGTTCTTTCTCAGTGGATGCTCGGATGAATGTTGAAAACCCACATGTTCATCCAGCAGTCCCTGTCACGACACATGGGGCGCTGTGTCAGGCTGGGTAACTGTACCAAGGACCTGCCCCTGTTGGGCCCAGCAGCCAGCCAGGTGCGAGCCATCCTCAGCCTCACCGCACACCTCCAGAAGCAAGCAGGACTAGGTAGAGAGAGGGGCAGGAGAAAGCCAGGCCCCACTCCCGGGGGAACTTGGGCAGGGCTATGCCATAGGTCTGCCTGCAACATTTAGTGCCTTAACTTGACTTGGGGAGGGGAGGAATGGACAAGTGCCTGAAGGAAGAACATCACCAAGCTCAACTCACGTGCCTTTGAAAGGAATACATCTGGAGTTAGGGCTACTTCCCAAAGCAAGGCAGAAGGCAAAAAAGGGCTTTGTTTTCAGCAAGTGGGTCAGAAAGTCCGTGTCTTTCATAGGCAACACACCCAGGGGAGTCAATGAGAAACACAACTGTACAAAAGCATGTGTGATGGATGGATGGATGGATGGATGGATGGGTGGATGGGTGGATGGATGGACGGACGGACGAACTCAGAGGAAAAGCCTCAAAGCAAACACACTTAGAAGCCACAAGGAGAAGAAAATCATACACATGAAACTAGCACCCAAGTCAATGGAAACTAAAACACTGCCTCATTCACTGTCTCTGACTGCCAGAGTCCTCACTAGTGGCATGAACCAGTGCAGAGGGCGACAGGTGCAGTTTTTCTGGAACATTCTTATCATTTGGCCCACAGGTTCCCCTTCTAGAACCTGGCCTGGGCTAGGGAGGCTGAGAGCCAGAGCAAAAGGTGCCGGCCAGCTTGCAGGATGATAAACAGAATTAAGAAAAAAACAGATGTCCATTTACAATTTCAACCAAATTTTGAAAACAATGAGTGTCGGGGGAAACCTATAGAGTAAGGCTTTTTCTGTAGGCAGCTTCACCTCCTGCTGCGACCCGTCACCATCTCCACCGCGCTAGGGTGACTCTCTCCTCCCAACACAAAGGCATGCACAGGCACGTGCCGACGCAGATGGCCCCACGCATGCGCGCCCGCCCCTGCCGGGTGAGACAATGTACAGGTTGTTGTATGGTGCTGGATGCCGGCCGAGGTGTGCACACAGCAATGCCGCTGAGCTCTAACCTTTTCACACAGGGCAAGAACGGTTCCTGCTTGGATTATTGCAACCTGTTCTTCATTCCTCAAATTCTAAAACACAAAAGATGGGCGAGCACGTTTTCCACAGGTCCCAAACTCAAGTGGCTCAGAGCCATTTTTGGGGCTCCTCTTGGAGGGGCGTCCTCCCCATGGATGGCAGCCAGCCTCTCCTGCCCCTCGGGGTGCGGAATGCAGCCCAAGAAATCGAGGCCCATTCAAGCCAGTGGTTTAGGGAGACATAGCATCCCTCTCCGGTCAGGCGCCTCCTGCCCTGGTCACTCATGGCCTATCTGACCCCGCCCCCACCCCCAGGAACACGGCCATACAAAAGCTTACATTGTACTTCTAGGACCTCTGAAACAAAAGAGGAACTCCAAACAAATGAAACAGAAGTCACACAGATACACCGGGTCGGAGGAAAGACAGAACCAGGAAGCACCGTCATAGTTACCCCGTTATCACCAAGGATATCTAGCTTCTTCATAAGTTCAGAAATATTCACATCCTGGAAAAAATGTTCAGTGTTCATTTTGCACAAAGACTCACTGTGCCACTTCCCAGTGCCACACCCTGAGTGCTCGCCCATCATCCTCCCCGCCGCTCCTCTCGGCCACCAGGGCCAGGACACATTCTGTTTACTGGACAGGTTGGTCCAAAGCAGGCTTCCCTGGAGCTGTGGCCAGGCACTGCAACAAGTGCCTTGTGTCCATTCATTATCTAGAGCCCTTGTCACACCAGCTCTCATGGCTGGGTGGTAACGAAGCTGGCTCCATCCCAAAACCCTGCTCTTTGAACAAGGGTACAGAGCGCCATGGGGTGACCCTTTAGAAAAACAAGCCCTTCCGACCTTTGACACAGGGTGCAGTTGATCCCAGCCCAATCACAAGGACACACGTCCCCCTTGGCAGTGGTGCCAGCTGGCGGAGGCTCCCCAGGCACGCTACCTTCACTCCTTCCTGATGGCAGAAGAGCTGGAGGGCACTGCTGCTGTTCTCAGGGAAGCTGGTGATTTGGAGGTTAAAGGCTGGCGACCTCCGCTCTCTCTCCTGAGGAAAAGATTCGGCTTAAGGACAGAACTCCACCCGGGCCTTCACCACTTTGCCATTTTCCCACGTTATCCGGCAGCCATCAGGGCATCCCGGCTGGCCACAGCGTGACTACCGAGTGCGCATGCTGACACGAGCTCCTTGTCCGGCAAACAGAAGCTTCCCACGTGTCTGCATGGCAGCAGCTCTCCCGCAGGAACATGGGGACTTGTCATCGACTCGGCTATGAGGAAACGGTTAGCAGGTGTCCCAAGGCTGCCTGTGGCAAGGGCCATACCACGGGACGTCACAGAGGCACAGCATTCAATCAAAACAACCACACTACATCACCACAGGCGGAGGAGGCCACGGACGTGGTGGAGTGTGATTTGGGGCTGGGCACATCGACACCCCCCAGTGACCCTCACACTCTGCACCTTGAGGCGGCAGCATCGCCTTCATGTCATACACAGAAGCCAGGCCAGGAGCCCAGCCCTGACCCTGCCTTCCTCCCGGTAGGATCTCCCTGTCGGTCTCCACCCACCATTTCTGGGACCCAGACTGGCACAACCAAAGATTAGAGCTCTGCGCCTCCCTTGGACGCACAGTCAGAGCTCCGTGACTGAGAGAGGAAGCAACCAGCGTTTTCCCAGAAGGGTTTCCACGTCATCATGAATAGAACAACGCACACAGCTCAGTGGTTGGTCTCAAATGTGTCTGCTTCCAAGAACAAACTTCAACCCTTCAACTAGGCACAAAGAGGTGTGGCGTGTCAGCATAGCAGGCCTTTGCAAATCACCGTGTTGGTCAAATAGCTTATATTTGCTCAGAACCTCAGAAGAATCTGAGATCTGTGGAACCAACAGGTTTCCTTCATGACCCAACTAAGAAATTCAAGCCAGGGACTGGCACTGCGGCACGGTGAGCTAAGCCACTGCCTGCGACACCGACATTCCTAGAGAGGGCCAGTCTGAATCCAGGCTCTCACTTCCAATTGGGCTCCCAGTGAGGCACTTGGGAAAGCACCGCACAACGGCCCAGGTACCTGGACCCCTGCCACCCACAGGGGAGACCCTGATGGAATTCCAAGCTCCTGGCTTCATCCCAGCCCAGCCACCAGGCCCTCTGGGGAGTGAACCAGTGGGTGGAAGCTCTCCCTCTTTCTAACTCTACCTTTAGGAATGACCCCAAGATGAGCTGGAGTGTGCCAGGCGAGTCTAACACTGCTCCCGGGAGAGGCCAGGGCTGCTGATGTCATCACTTGCCACGAAGCCCCCACCTGGCTCGGCTAGCAACGATCTAGAGGGTCAAGCCCTACAAATGCGGCCCTAGAAGCAATGCTTTCCCAGACCTGCTTCCCAGGTCCCGTGAGACAGGGCAGAGCCAGACAATTCCACAAGGCAAGCAGGGCTGGTGCGGTTCCTGTGCAAGGCTTCCTGGCAGGCAGCTGACGTCTTGACAGCCTCCCTTCCCTGCGGCAAGGATCTGTGCTGAGGCCCATACACAAGCCAGCCCTGAGCGACACGGGCGCCAAGGCTCAGGCCGTGGGCCCAGCCAGTGCAAGGAGCGGACAGTGGGTTCGAACACAGACAGTCTTTCACTCAAGCTGGGAGGAGAAGCCACAGACACTGCAGGGTGAGAGTGGAGCTCCCCTGTGACAGAGGGAGCCGTACACATGCCACGCACGGTCAGCGGGGAGGGGCAGGGCCGCATCAAAACTATCACTCACTCAAGCGATGCTGGAAACATCAAACAAAAAATTAGGGTTGTGAGGGTCTGAGGGTCGCTCACTCTGTCCCACTCAGTGCACAGGCTGGGGGTGGGGAGGGGTGACGCGCCCACAGGACAAAGACTGGGATGACACAGGACCCTGTCAGGGTGCTAGCTCCAGCCTGATTACAAGTCAGAATCTCTTGAATCCAGCATGGCTGTGATCCCTGGCTCCCTACAGAGCTGAAGCAACACATAGGTTTTCTCCAGCACCTATGCAAATTACAGCCTGTCCTTACTTACCTGGGGTGGGGGGAGGGGTTACCTTGGCAAACAGAAAACAGGCCCTGAGTGGCAGTGAACTTGGACTAAAGGCCACCCCGGGCTTGCCAGGTCAGGCCCTGCTGTTTCAAAAGGTGAGAGATCGGTTGCATGCATGAACACTTAAAAAGGCTGTGTCTCTGACTGCAACCAGTGCGTCTGTCCGGGTGTGGCAGGGCGTTCCGGCGGCTCTGCATGCAGGAGAGTCGTCATGGCAATGAAACACAAATCAAAAAGGCAAAATATTGCAAAAACAAATGATTTTATTAAGTGCAAAAAACAAGCCATAGGCGATAACTAGGAGCTCTGGTACAAGTCCACAGACCGGTGAGCGCTCCTTCTCCGAGAACACATTAAGGCAGTGACATTATTCTGAACATACAGGTTTAAAAAAAAGAAAGAAAAAAGGGGGAGAAAGTAGGAACTAGCACACCATCCCCGTGCACATGCGGGGGGCGGTGGGGGCTTCACAGGAATTTCAGTTTGGGCTCAAACAGAATGTCTGCTCCGTGGGGGAGTTTACAACAGAGAGAGTCCCTTACTTCCAGCTCTAGCACTCTGAACTCTAACAGTTCGTTCTGGTCCTTGGCGTCCTGCATTTCGCTCTTCAGCTGGTTCTCCTCCAGTTCCAGTCTGTAGATCTAGGGTGAAGACATCTGCAGGTGAGCAGGTGGGGACAGTGGGGAGCAAGGGCCGGTGCGGCAAGGACGGGCTCAGAGGCTGGGCCTGTGACGGGGTGCAGCCAGTGATGGCTCACACCCGCTTGTCAGGTTAATTGACAGCGGACAGTGACAGGGCGCAGAATTTCCGCACCCTGCCCTTCCTACCTCCTTTCACACCATTCAAGTTAACAGAGCCAAGAAACCAGCCCCAGGGGTTCCTTGTGTGTGCCCAGCCCCCACTGCCTCCCACACCATTCAGGTCAACTGACAGTGGAACTGGCTCTGGAGTCCAAGCACTCGGCCCCTCCTGACTCCTACTCTACTAGATTAGGTTAATTAACTGCAGGAGAACTTTGGGCTCCCACAGCTCCCTTCCTGCCTCCTGCACAGGGAAACTTGTTTGTACTTTGTGGCTGTCACTCTGATTGGAGGATGAGAGCTTAAAAACTCGACTTCTGCAGTAAGGCACGGTGACTCTAGGAGTGTGGCAGGAACTGCTATCACCAAGCTTGGACAACTAAGACTCCTCCGAACATCCTATACTTGGGTCCAGGGTGATCTCTCTCGCACTCCGCAACATGCCAAGTTCACACTCCCTAGCCCCACGGGAGACTGAGACACACAGCTATGAGGAGCCCCTTCCCCTCAGGCTGAAGGTTGGGGGCTTCTGCTGCCTGGGCCTGTCCACCCCAACCGGCCGGGATCAGCATGAGGGACAGAGTCCCAGACCAGACAGTTCAGGGGAGCGGGTCCCTCCAGAGTCCCTACAGGGCTCCTGTGGCAAGCCGGGAGGGCAGCAGACTCCCTGAGGGTGAGCGCACAGAGAAGTCTGGGAAGGGAGCCTCCTGGGTGCCACCCCTAGGCACCAGCGGGCAAGGGTGGCACCACTGGTGGCAGCAGCTCGATGCCCTGGCTGAGCCCTCAGTAGGCTCTCCTGGTTGCCATGCCCCTGGTTGCCAAGCCCCAAGCACAGTCAGCCCTCAGGGTGGGGTTTTTCCACTCCAGGACTTGTGGGAACACGTGAGAGTCTGATACTCCCAGGATTTAGTGACAACCCAGAGGGTGCCGAGACCACCACCAACAGGGCTGCACCCATGACAGGGCTGGGCTCATCCGTGGTGTCCCAGACATACCTGGGAATCAGCCATGGCTTCAGCAGGCCCAGGAGCAGAGCCTAACCAAGCGAAGTCTCTTCCACAGAGGGAAGGCCAGGCTTGGCCACAAGCAAAGGCTAATCTAGAGTGGGGGATCCCAACACAGGAAATGTCTGAGAGAGGGGACAGGGGCCTACAAACGGGCAGGGTACGTCCATGGGTGCTGAGAATGTCTGAAACCACATTGCAATGGACCCCCCAGCTGGAGGGACATACAGGGAGGTGAACAGCAGTGTGCAGAAACAGCTCAGCCCACAGCATCAGCCCTCACCCCCATGTACATCTCAGAAAGTTCTAGAAAGCCCCACAGCCAAAGAGCCAAGGCCAGAGGCCCCGCTGCTGTTAGGGTTGGTACTACTAGTCTGAGGTGACCCCGGGTCCAGAGCTGTTGGACAAAGAAGGTTCTGGAAACCCAAAGCGACGGGCAGGAATGTCCACGTCAGGATGACAGGTGCCTGAGAGTGGTCTACATCCAAGGCCCTCCCAGAGGCCAGGGCCAGGAAGTGGGAAGTGAGTCCTCCTTGTCAGGAGAGCCCACATGGCAGGACCTCCAGGGCTGCGGGGGACGCAGGCGGTCCGAGGGCCCCAGAACAGGGGTCACGTACCTTCTCCAGTAGGTCCTGATTGGTCCTAAGGAGCAGCTGCTTCTCCTCCACCCACTTGGAGTCCTGAGGGAGAACACGGAGTGTGTCCACGCTCACCGGCCCCGCAGATGAGCAGCCGGGCGGCAGGCAGGGTTAGCGTGGTCACCTCCCAGCACAGTCACCAGCAGGCTCATTATCCCCACTGTGGGGATAGTGCCTGGTGGCAGGGCTCCCGGTGGCCAGCCCCAGTCTGGCCCACACACACCCCAGGCCCCTCCTGATTGCTCTGCCATGTCTGCCTGGCCTTGCACCATCTCCCCGGGTTTCTGAGTCCCTGGTGTACATGGCACAGGTCACTATCCTTCACCACGGCTCCCACCACAGGCACAGCCTGCACGCAGCCAGACCCAAGCAGGCACAGGAGCAGGGGAGGAGGCCTCTGGCCCAGCCCCAACCTCCGGCATGCCTCAGAGCCAGGACACTGCCTTGGGTCTAACCTATGCAACACGGAAGCTCCCCAGCACCTCTGGCTTTCCTGTGCCAGCTGTTTACCAGTCTGTACAGTGGCCCTGCTGACCTGGTGTGGGCTTCCAAGTCCCATCGCCCCCCAGCCATAGGACCCACAGCTACCCCTAGCAGGAGGCAGACTCTCTTGGTCCTGCAGAGGCTGGCCTTGGCTGGTCTATGGGTCAGCCACCAAGACACGAGCAGGTGTGTGCCACATGCCAAGACTCGTAAAGGCTTTGTACCATGCAGCCCACCCTTTCTTCCTGCGCAGAGACCACTGGGGTCGGAGGGGAGGGAGGACTAGCGCCTTGGAGGAAGCCACAACTACCACCAGGACAGACACATAGGGAGGAATTTCTCAGCCCCTGCAGTCCACCTGAAGAAGCTTCCAGAAAGAACTGAGGGAATACTGGCAGAAGAGCCACCCACTGAGCCAGCCCACAGAATAGAGTGAATAAATACATGTTGTGAACAAATCAACAGGACGCAGCACACGTGGCTGGGTGGCGGGGAGGGACTGAGTGGGCAGCTGTGTTCAGACAAGCTTCATGGATGCGAGCTCAGCCTGGGAAGGAAACCGAGGCCAGCGGCAGGTCAGGATGGAGGTGGACAGAAGTCTCAACGCCCCCAATCCCTGGGCTACTGCCCATTGCAGCTTCTCCTCCAAATGTGGTGACGCGTGTGAGCCCCATTTTAAAGATGAGGCACAGATTACAGAACTGTCCAAGATCAGACCAGGACCAAGCAGGTCCCTCGCCCTCACCATGATGGATGCCATGACTTCTTCAGCCATGCCACTTCCAGGGACAGTCTGTGGGCCTGGCTGCCTGCATCTGAGTCTCAGCCATGACCCTGAGCCCCCTCCTGCAAGAACCACGCCCTTCCTGAGTCCCTCCCTGCTACACTTGCAGTGGTTCACAGCTCCTCTTGTCATGCCCACCACACCCCCTCCCAGGCTCCCACCAGGCCCTGTGGCAGCCCCCATCAACCCTCCCAGTCTAGCCAACGTCGGGTTGCAGGGGAGCCACCAGCCATGCCATCTGCCCACACACTGCCACCACCTGTGGTAGAAGCACCAATACTGACACCAGTCAGTGACTTACATCAAGGCAAGCTCGGCCTTTCCCTCTCCCATGCCCAGCAGTGGAATGTTCTAGATTCAATAGCTATAAGACAGCAGTGGCTGCATACTGCACCACATACAACAGATGGTCCTCTGCCCACAGAAGGACCAGAGAACTTGGGATGGTGGAACACCTCACTGTTGGGCAGCCCCAAGACTTCCTGCTGCTGCCGCCCCAAAGAACCACTTAGTCTCATGCCCCAGTTCTGCCTTTCTCTCAGCCTGGCCCAAATGGATGCAGACAATGGGCACAGAGATTCCGCTCGACCTGCAGGGCTTTCCATCGACTTCACACGCTCCCACAGGGGGTGCAGTCCCTGAGCTTATGCGAAATGGTGCGATGAACAAAACAAAACCAACCAAGCAAACAAACAAAAGAAACACACCACAAATGGAAGAATTCCCACAATTAGGCACAAGACATATTCAAAAAGTTAAAAAAAATCATAACTTGCTTAATCTCATTCAGAGAGTCAAAAATAAACCTATACCATATGATCCAAGCAACACAGGATTCCTGAGTGTTTCCCTGGGCTTGGATCCATCCTGGGTCGCCATCTTCTCAGGACCAGTCTCCAAGTTACAGTGCAAATGTGCTCATGGAGACCACCGACCAACAGAAAACACAAAACCTGAGGCTCCCCCGTGAGGCGAGGAGAGATAAGATGACCAGGTCGTCCATCAACACACCAACAAAGGCAGAGGGCACTACAACATCTAAACCCATCTTCCATCACGGGCAACAGAGTCACATCCACAAACTCAACACAACACCCCGAGATCCTCTTCTGAAGAAAAAAAAAGTCCTTGAATCCATTCCTGCAACCCTAGAGAAAACACATTGAACAGGACAAAAGTTTTAAAACGTGGTTTTCTTAATTCCAACCAGACTGTCACATATACGCCTCCAACACACAGACGAGTGACACAGCACTATTGAAAAGGGCTCCCTTCCGATGGCATAGAAACAAGGCCGCACCTTCTCCTAACCAAGCAAAGAGGATGCGTGTATGTAATCCCATCCTTTACAGCAAGCTTGTCCATCACACCCACGGCATAGTGTACCTAAAGCGTGGCGAGTATGAAGAGCAGTTGGGAAAAAAGGGCATGGTGGGGCTGCGGGGGTGGGCCATTATAGACGTTTGACACTCATAGGATTGTAAACCACTGCCACAGGTGGTGAGGAGCTCCAGATGACAGGAAGCTCGCAGGCATGGGGATGGATGAGTTGGACCAACAGGAAGGTGACAGCACACCAACTTTGGTGGACCATGTCCTCAGCCCTCACTCTTGCTTCACTTGTATAAGCCCATGTGGCTGTCCTGGTGACAGGGAGCATTCCGATTGGCTGCCCCTCTGTGACCTCACAGGGCTCTGTGGCCATACCAGCTGTCCAATCAGCAGCTGCCTGGTCATAAAGGTGCCACAAAGGTAGCAGTCTGCAGGTCACCTCTGGGCACCCAGGCGAGCCCCGGGACACAGCGAGTGGAGGGGCAGTGCCCGTCATGGGGTACATGGTCGTGGCTCCTCACCTGGCCCTTCTCCACCAGCAGCTTCTCCAGGTCCTCGATCTTGGCCTGACATCGCAGCAGATCAGCCTGCAGCTGCTCCCGAGTCTGCAAGCAAACAGAGCAGCGGTGAGCGGGCTAGACGGAAGGATGGACGGAGACTTGGAGCAGATCAGACACCAGCAGGGACTACCCTTCGGGGACCAATGGCCGTTCCCCACCCACAGCCCTTCACAGGATGCCCACAACAGGGAGCTCCAGTTGCACAGGCTGTGGGGGTGGGAACATCTGCAGAGATCTTAGGGCTGGCTTCCATAGAGTTGACAACTGTCACCGGTCCAGACCTTTCTGGGCTTCCATTTAGGGTTAGGGATGCTCGGCCAGTAAGAACTGTCAGGCCCAGTGTGGAAACAGGAGCCTGGGGGAAGGGACCCCCTTTCTCCCTGCAAGGGGGCAGTGGGTCGGGGACAGGGGTCAGAAGGCAGGCACGGCCAAGGGCACAGGCCCAGCTCCTGCAAGATCAGAGTCTGCTCCCTCTACAATCCACAAGCCAAACACATTTCCACCGGTTCAGGCTCCTGCTCAGCCTTTGTCACCTACAGGAAAAGTCTGAAAATCAAAATGGCCCAGGGCCTGGCCAGTAACACAGTGAGGGGCAGCGAAGGAGCGTGAGGTCCGGGGATGGCCTGCCAGGCCTGCCACACCCCACACGGCCCTCAGCACCACCAATAGCAGCCTCTCTGAGGGGTCTCCCCACAGACGGCCTCCCGGGGACCAGCTGCGCCCCAGCTGTCTGCTACTCCAGCACCTCTGTCCAAGCTCCTAGAGTTTCTTTTGGGGGGGCCTGTGTCGTTTTCCAGAAGGTGGGGCTCACTCCTCACAGAGCCACCGTGGGAATCAGACGGGGACAGGAGAAAACTGGCAGCACCAGGGCCCTCTGCGAGCTCCTGCAGGCCCGGGTCTGTACGAGCTTCCTGGATGTGGGGGAACGGCCAGTGGGTGGAAGTTTCTGCAAGGCAAAGAGCTCAGGCCAGCACGAGGGGTGACAGCCAACAGGGTCATCAGTGTCTTCTGTGTAGGGGGGCAGCTGCTTTTTCCTCAATGTTCCACAGTTCCTCACATCTGGAACACGCAGGAATGTTGTCACGAAGGAGGACTCAAAGCCCCTTCCAGATTCTGGCCACCATGGAGACTTCATTACAAGTTCCCCAACACCTCCCGAATCCCCTCCAGGTGCCCCGGGCAGGGCCCTTGCCAGAATCACAACCCGGCTATGGCGGGGGCACGCCCAGCCCAGCAGGACCGTGGCACTTACCCGGGCCTCCCTCTCAGCATCCAGCGTGCCGCCCACCTGCTCCTGCAGCAGGGCGTAGGCTCGCTGCAGGGCCTGGTATTCCCTGGTGAGCTGGCAGAACCTCAGGTCAGCCTCCTCTCTGGTTGTGGTCTTAACAGAAGGCAGAAAGACAGTGTCAGACATGTGCCTCCATGTACCCAGGTGGACATGGGCCAACTGAACACCTGTGCCCCAGCGCCTCTGCTGGCCAGAGCAGGACACAGGCCCCTATCAGGATGGGAGCCAAGTCATGCCCATTCAGGGAACAGGGGGAAGAGGAAGAGGGGGCCGCCCTCACTGCAGGGCTTCTCTCTCTGGAATTTTCCCACATGGGAATCAAAGGGATGAGCCAGTACAGTGCAGGGCCGTGGCAGGGAGCAGTGAGTGGGTACCACATGGCCCAGTGCAGGGCTGCTGAGGCCCACACAAGTTTGTGGCCACTGTGTTCGAGGGTGGAGGTAGAGCAGGGGCCCCTTCCTCCTGGTACCAGGGGGAGGGACACATCTAAGAGACAGGGCATGTGCCCCTAAGGCTTGGGCAAACAGCCAGGAGGGCTCCCTGGGTCTGAGGTGGCAGGGACTACAGAAGAAAACCATCTTGGAAGTCACTCTAAGACGGGACACCATGGTGAAGGCCACAGGGCCCAGGGAAGAGCCTGGAGTGGGTGGAGTGCTGGTGGGAGGAGCCAGGGAGGGAGGCTCCGCCCCCAGCTGCAGGCCGTGGGGGCCTGTGAAGACCCACAGAAACCCCATGAGGAGCAACAATGCTCCCACATCCTGTCCCAGCCAGGGCCCTCACCACACAGGCCCACTCCCCTGCACGTCTACACTCAGCCTTCCTGTCCAGACAGCCAGAGCTCAGAAAACCACCCCCAGTGGAACGGCTGCTGAGAGGAGAGGCCACGATGCACGGTGGGCAATGCAGCTGGGCCTGATCTAGGACTGGCAGGGAGGAGGAGGCAGGGAACCTGTGCTGAGTCTCAGGTTTGGGATCTGACAGGTACGTGACTCCGGAGAGGCACAGGGCCCCACAGGGGCCGCTGAGAAGATGCCAAGGGGCAGGGTAGGAGCCCAGGAAGCCGACAGGTGCACACTGGAGAACACAGGGTGCTCAGCAGCAGGACTGTGCCCTGAGCATGTCCAGATACAGGCAGGGGTCAACAGGTGACCTTGGGCAACAGGACTTCAGGCTCCCACTTATTCTCGATGCTTCTCTGTGCTGTCCCGGTCAGTGGACGCCCCCTCCCCCAGGGCCGCCAGCGTGGATGACGCTCACAGGTAGGGCTGGGTGGTCTGGGGTCACCTCGAGGTGAAGGAGCGACGCGTGTGAGTCTCAAAGGTGGACTCGCCCGCCCCTTGACACCACCTGGGGAGGCCCAAACAGGTGCTGGCTTACATCATCCAGGTCTTCCTCAGGCGTGGCCGGGGTCCTGTCTGTCCTGTCCGTGTTATAGGAGGTCTCGGACAACGTTTCTGAGTCCACGGACTCCTCGTCAAATCCAAAAAATGTCTCCACAACATGCTTCTGCAAGAGGCAATGGGCGTAGCGTCAAGGACAATCCGGGGGCGCGGCCCCGGGGCCTTCGGTGTCACCGCTACAACTGCTGCCTGTGACACCTGTGCACCTAGCACGCTTGGTAAGACAGCACGTGCAGAGGAGGGGGCAGGAGTAGCATGGGCCACAGGCAGAGGCGGCCGGCCCAGACTCGAACCCACTGCTTTGCCCATGAGCACCATGGGGGCCTCCCTGCAGACAGCCCTGCAGGCAGCACAACTATTGCCCTAGGAAGACAATAGCCAGCCCCAGAGAGAAGAGTCTGGAAGGATATGACACCAACACACAGGGCAGGGCTTCAGGGGGTGAGGTCAGTGACCCAGCACACTAGCCAGTAGGCAGTGCGGGGGCACGCCCAGAGACCTCACCAAACCTGAGGGTGCCGTGGGAAACCTGGAACCCCTCAGGCCTCCATCAGTCAGCCGCAGGGCAGCTCGCACGCTCTGAGCTGAGCCTGCACGGCTGTTCTCTTAGACAGGAGCCTGTAGAACTCTGCTCATTCATTCACTCATGCACACATTTATTCATCCAGCAAACATTGGCCAAGCGCCTGCAAGAGGCCGAGTGCGGGGCTGGACAGAGGCTAGCGGCAGGATCAGAAGCAGCGAAGGCCCAGCCGCCAGAGGCCCGGGGCCACCTGGTGCCAACAGCCAGCCACAGTCAAACACCTCTGTTTTAGGAACAAAGGTTTTGCTTGCTTCCGCAATCAGGATATTTTTCTCACCCCAGAGAAAGCGCCCTGGAACTGCAGGGCCCAGCCTCTGGCTCGCAGGCTTTTCCAGCCAGTAACCATTTCCTCTCAGCTCGTGGCGGGGTTGGGGGAGACGGAATGACCCCACCTACCCCACTGTGTAATCTGGCGTGTGTCTGCCAGTGCAAGAAAAATGAAGTATGTCACATTCAGCAATGGGATCAGAAAAGCTTCAGCCAAGGGAACGGCAGGGAAGATGGGGGTGCTCTTGTCCCCTCACACGGTGGGGGGGGAGTTACACAGGAGGCACCCACCACCTAGGATGTCCCCAACGGCGTCCACTCTAAGGTCATTCCTGTTGTTCAGCATGGGACGGGTGTCTCTCCCAACCCTGATTTGTATGCCAGCAGGGTCCCCAACAGCTCTGCACAGCAGCCCTGTCCCCCCACAAACCTGCAGCAGCACCCAAAACCCAGAACCGCCCTGCTTCCAACCTGCACACCCCAACTCGCTGCTCCACCCTGCCCCCTAGTGGCCAGAGTGTTAGAAAGCAAGAGCTGAATGGGGCTGGTCCTGCCTACTGATCACAGCAGCCACTGGTATCCGGGCAAACTCCCACGGTGCCAAGCAGGCACCTGCACCTGTCACATGCCCGCCACAGCTCTCCCTCGCTTTCCTTCAGTCTCCACACACAACTACATGGCAGAGGCCTCTCTGACCACCACAGCAAAGTCCCTGCACCACCCTCCCCCAGCCCTGCCCAGACCCCATCCTCCTCTTAGCACTGCGCACCTCCAGGGACAAGACACACCCCTGCCCGTGTCACCCCCAGAACGGAATCTCCACGGAAGCAGGAAGTGGTCCTTCCGCTCCCCGCAGTGCTCTGACTGCCGCCCCATACACCTACCTAAGTCACATGAGACATCACAGACCTGCTTCTCTCAGGGAGCTCAGAACTGAGCTGGTGTGCCCAGCCACAGGCAGCTCCAGACTGGCACATAGCACCCTTGCCTCTGCACACAGGCTGCACCGTTCCCCAGCGAGCAGTGACGGAGGTGGAGGGGGCGGCCTGAGCAGGCTGCCCAGACCTCGGCTGGCATCACTCTCTCAGCCAGGGTCAAAGACAGCCCTGTCCTCCAGTCTGCTCTCCAGGTGAGCAGACCCGGGTTCACACACTCTCCCGCATCCCCAGAGAGCAGTGGCCAGGACACTGGAGGGCAGTGGTGACAGCTGCTTACAGCAGTAAGTGACAGTTCACCTGCACACATGCCACCTCTCCCAGCGCCAGTCCCCATGTTCCTCAGGGACTTCAGGGCCCATTTTGCTTCCAGTAAACACAGTTAATTGCCAAGGCCTCAGGGGACAGGCCGGGACTGTTGCTATGGCAGCGACACCTGCTGATGTGGCCCCAGGAGATGACATCAGGTCATACACACACACACACACACACACACACACACACACACACACACACACACACACACACACACACACACACACACACACACACATTGCTGGCCCCTGACCACCCACCATGGGCTCACAATTCAATGTTGAGTCATCCAGGACAAAGCTCGCGGGGCGCCAGGCAGGGACTCGACCAGGTGCTAACAGACAGCGTGTCAGGCAGAGCTGGCTCTGTCAACCAGCCAGCGGTGTGTGGAGTGTGGAGGCCCCAAGTGGAACAGGAAGCGGCGTGGAGGGCAGCCTGACGGTGGTGTGGACCCCCGGCTGGACATGGCACACCCGACACGCCCAGGAGCACAGGGCTGCCTGAGGACCCAGTCCCAGCTCTCACACCACGCAGGCACACTGCTTCGCTCCTGGGAACACTTAGCTGGTTAGCGGGATTCTGTTCTATGAGAAGCCCAAATGTTTTCCACTTGCTTCCACCTTTATTAACATACAAGGAAAATCACTCCCTTATAACGCCTACAGTGAGACTCGGTGGCTCTTGAAGACGGTGCAAGCTGTCTCCCCCTCCCCTTCCCAGACACAAGTGTCCAGCAGCCACCCAGAAGACCCCACCCCTCACTGCCCGACACGCACAGCACTTCAAACGAGGCCCAGCGCCAGAACTGCCATGCCTGCGACATCTCAATTACTCCAACTCCAGGGACACCTCCAACGGACAGACAGTCCAGCAGCTGCCCGCTGCAAGGCACACCTGCTACCCAGAACCAGCTCCCTTCTGACGACTGCTCTCTCCACAGCCGAATCCAGCCCTGCGGCCGCTTACCTTCGTGCCTGTACGTCATCTCCTGACAGCCAGAGAAGTAGAGGCACACCAGGGCGCAGAGGCAGAGGAAGAAAGAGAAGTAGAGTACAAAGAGGATGTACTCCATGGCGGCCCGCGCGTGCCGGCTCCGACTGGAAACTCTTCCCTCCCTCCCCACTTCTGAAAGCTGCCTGCTTCCCCTCCCACAGCACGCCGTGCTCCCCAAGGCCGCCACAGGCAGGAGCCACCTGCTGCAGCAGCCTGAGGACAGCGCTCTGCAACCAGGACTGTGGGCAGCTCCAGGAGCAGGGCTGGCTGCGTGCGTCATGGCTAGGGGTCAGGGGACAGCTTCCCAGCCAGTGTATCCGCTGGGGACTTTACCCCCAGGACACATCCTTGCTGAGAGCCAGCTGTGTGCAGCGCCAGGTGCTGAGGACAGCACTAACTAAGGTGCTCCTTTGGGGCCGCAGCTCAGATCTGGGAGGATCGCCCTCGACCCCCCACTTGTAGCCTGGACGGTGTGAGCCCCACGTGTGGCCTGGACCGGGTAAGCCCCACGTTGGCCTGGACTGGGTGAGCCCCACGTTGGCCTGGACCGGGTAAGCCCCACATTGGCCTGGACGGTGTGAGCCCCACGTTGGCCTGGACTGGGTAAGCCCCACATTGGCCTGGACGGTGTGAGCCCCACGTTGGTCTGGACTGGGTAAGCTTGGTGCTTTAATTGGCAGCATTGGTCTCATCATCAGCAGTTATCCAGCTGAGAAGCCATGCTGTTTGAACAGGATCTGTCTGGAGAGGGTGTGTGTGGGGGAATTCTACTTCCTAACAGGACTTCACCAAGCATCCCCCAAAAGCAAAAGCTCAGGGCCCTGACCGTAGCACAGCAGCTTAGGCTGCCACCTGTGGTGCTGACATCCCATACAGTCACCGGCTCAAGTTCCAGATGCTCCACTTCTGACCCTGCTCCCTCCTAATGGGCTGGGGAAGGCAGCCGAGGAAGGGCCCCTGCACCCACATGGGCGACCTCAAGGAAGCTCCTGGCTTTAGCCTGTCCCAGCCCTAAATGTTATGGCCCTCTGGGGAGTGAAAAGCATATGGAAGATGTCTGTAACACTATTTTTGGAATAAAATCTGTTTTAAAAAGGAAAGTATTTTTCAAAAGAAAAGTGAAAGCCTCCACGTGGAAAAAGTGAGCATCAGAGATGAGCCGGGCGCTCCCCCACAGACCCCGAGGCGGCATCTAAAGGCAGGGGGCACGTGGGCCACAGCACGCTGACCCCTGCCACGGAGGCCTGCACCCTGCGTCCCTGGCCTGGTCCTCCTCCCAAAGCTGCACTGGCAGCCTGGGCACCCGGCCCCGGCCACTCGCGTGGCACTGCTGCCAGGAGTCCTGGGCTCCGGCTGGCCCGGGGCTGCCCATTATGAAACAGGAAATGGGAGATTTCTCTCAGCCTCTCTTCGTCTGTCACTCTGGCCTTTCAAGTTAAATAGGCAGTTTGTTTGCTTTAAACAGACACTTTTCATAAAAGAAGAGAGAGTGGCCTCTGGGCCACTCTTCGTTCCAGGGCCTCCCTCCCCACAGTGTGGCCCCACACTTGTCAGTTCAGTGCTCACTGGCCCCTTAAGTCACGCCTCCCTGCAAGCTGCCAGGGCTGGATGGGTCCATGTCCAGCTGCCAAAGACCAGCCTTGGCACTTCTGCCAGAACCACCTACAAGGGGGAGAGCCAGCCTGAAGCCTCCAGGGCCACCTGGGTCAGCCCAGGTCCAGAGCTTGCTCACCTGAGGGGCTGGCCCAGGGCACACGGCACTGAGAGAGAAAGATGTGGGTTCCTAGCAACCATGTATGAGCACCTGGATCCAGCTGTGCTTGAAGCCTGTCAGTCACATGGACGCCTTTCTTTCACGTGAATTTTTTGCACAAAAACAGAAAGTATCCTGGCTAATGGGGACTGGACTAGGCCTAGCAAGCGAGTCCATTCTGAGACAGTCTGCTCCTCCAGAGGACCTTGTCGCCACCTGGCAGGTTCCTCAAGAGCAGCCGCCTGGGCCTTGGGGTGCCTCGGCTCTGCAGAAACCGTGAGCTGCATCTGGCAGGGTCAGCCCCCACGTGAGCTGCGTCCAGCGGGGTCTGCTCTCACCTCTGCTCTCAGGCTGGGCCCGTCACTGATGGCCCGCCATGCCCACAGCAGACAGCCCACATTAAGGACTACAGGCCAGGGGACAGGACAGCTTGAGAACCAGGTCTCCTCAGCCTTCCCCGCCTGCGCACGCACACACACACACACACACACACACACACACACACAGCCTGAGTCATTGTGGGCAGCCTCAGGCCTGAGCCTGCTTGGACAAGGCAGGTGTCTGACGGCCATGGGTTCTGGCCTGGACTTGACCCAGGAACCAGACTGAGCAGCCAGGCATCAGCCATCAGAGCAGGCTGCTGGACACACAGTGCCGGCCCCAGCCTGTCTGCCTCGGCCTTGCCACTCACTCGTTCGACCAGAGTCTCTGAGCACTCCCTAGGGAGACGGATGTCGGCATGGACAGCCACAAGCCACAGCGCCCTGCACCAGGGCCCACCTGACTGGGGAGGCTGAGGCCTGAAGGACAGGGGTCAGCTTGATTTCTCCTACGGGACCAGAGGCCGCAGGCACACGTGGTATGAGGCACTCACCTCGCAAAGATACAGAGGTGAGCAGCACGATGAGGCCCTGGTCTCAGGCCCTCCTGGGCTGCGCCCGAGCCACAGACCTGGGGGCCTCATCTAGGGACCCCTGTGAAATGGAGTCTAGCAATGGGACAAGCTCCACACCCTTTAGATACAGTCTTTCCAATATCCCACCAACAGTGGGAGGTGTCCAATTGCCCCTGCAACTCTCGCACAGCCCAGCAGGCCATGCACATTCACCCCACAGTTCCCACTGCTGGGAACCTGACCACAGGGACACAACTTTCTGCCAAAGGGAGTGACAGTTACAGATGGAGAGCGCCCAGTGGCAGGGGAAAGGCTAAATAAGCCCAGTAGAAGCGCTTACTGAAATGCCAGCAGCCGTCATCAAACACAAGTGGTCCAGCGAGAGCTGCTCCGTCGGCAGAGACACATTTACTGCAGCGCCATCCATCACAGCCACAGACAGGATGCAGACATGCCCAGCAGCACAACAGCCAACAGATGTATGGCGTGTCTGTCTGGCAGATCATGCAGCCAGAAAAATTCCTATTTATGATGACAGCGCATATAGAGTTCAACGCATGTAGCACCATATCTTTAAAAAAACAGCATGGAAATACACGACGTGTGGGGCAAGTGGTGCGATGCGTGTCGGTGCCACTGGCCACGATGAGGTAAGTCCCATTCTCGGTGTAGACAGGCCTGTATGGTCTCTACAGCAAAAACACACATACAGAGGCCAAGCTAACAAGTTAAGCCACTGCCTGCGACTGAACATCCCATTTGGGTGCTGATTTGAGTCCCGGCTGCTCCACCTCTGATCCAGTTCCCTGCTAATACTGCTGGAAAGATACTGGAAGATGGCCAACATGTCTCAGAGGGGGAAGGCATGACCATGCTGACACTTGGGTCTCTGACCTCTGACCTCTCCAAGTTCCACAGCCACCTGCTGGCAGAACTGTTAAGACAGTTCTAGGCACTCAGCGTCTCCCGAACAACTAGGGTATCTGGCCCTCCTGGCTGGCCTGCCCAGCATGCAGGGCCTGGCTTGCCACAGTTCCCACCACCCCCTACTGTGCCATGCATGGGCCCTGGCCCATCCACCATCACATTTTAACGGCTACTTCCCTTTAGAAAGGAAAGTTTCTCTATAGCCCAACTCTGCTCAGATAAACCGTGTGTGTGTGTGTGTGTGTGTGTGCGCGCACATGTGCGTGCTCTCAGATAAACCATGTGTATGTGTGCCCACTCCAATTTGGTTTTTTATTCTCCAGCTTGGTCCCAAGACACTCAGACTATCCTGCCAGCAAGGAGACACCGTGCATTCCCACTGCCCCCTGACCCCAGGACGTGGTCTGCCTCACTGTAGATGTGCAAAGCCCTGGCTTTCTGCACAGGACCTAGCTGCCATCGACCAAACCCAGGGACCCCGAAATCCTCCCCCTCAAATCTAAGCGTTCATGTTTCTAACCTTGGAAGCATACACCCTGGGGCTTAAAACCAGACTCTGCTCCACCCACAAGCTGCATAACCGGGTCACACCACGTGACTGTGGTTAATGCCTCCTTGAGAGACGGCGCTAACACGGTCATCACCAGACCGGGGAGCAGAACCGGGCCTCCCACACAGGGCTCGTGCCCAGGGCTCCCATTGCCCTTGGAGCAGTGACGGGCAGCCGGGTGGCCACATCCCCTAGCCTCTTACCTTGGGCGGCTTCAGGCTTTTCCCACGATGCCTCTTGGAACGCAACAACCGTTCTCTCTCCTGCAACAAAGCACAGCCATGGGCAAACCTTGGGCAGTTCCAGCTGCCATGTCCATCCGTCAGCACCAGCGTGGGAGGGTCCGCACGCTCCACGCCCCTCCCCCGACACACCTTCTGGCAGCCGAGCGTTCACAGAGCTACTCCGTTTCCACATCCTTCTCAGGACCTGACCCTTTGCCTCCCCAAGGCCACCCAGGCCTGCTGGTCCCAGAAGCTGCCAGTCTGTCCTCTTGGGTGGGAGGTCGCCCACAGCACAGAGCCCCTTTCTGCGGCACTGATAGGTTCCAGCTGCGACATGGCTGGGCCTCCCCGACACTCATTCCTGCAGGTCTCATTCCCTTCCTGCCCCACAGCACTGCTCTGAGACACAGAGACGCCAGGCGCCTGGTGGCTGCGGTCCGGACACACGCCCCCTGCAGGTGAGTGGTAGATCAACGGCATCTGGCACAGCAACGGGACACACCCAAGTGCCCAGCAGCAGCCCTGTGGCCGGCCCTGACCTGATCCTGACCCACGCTGCGGCATGCCCTGGGCTTCACTGGGTGTGGCAATCCAAAACTGACATTACTGTCCTTTTACTGACTGTGGCTTTATCACCCTAAGCTGCGCTGAGTGTAACGAAGCAAAGATGGATGGGGGAAGGGAGGGAAAAGTTAGAGAAACAGAAAGGCAGACTGAATGTGATCCAAGTCTTTTGTACGGGCTTTTCTGCGCTTCCAGGACCCGGCGCCAGAAGCCTCCCACAAGCTCTTGGGGACGCAGAAGACGGCCTGTCTCTATGCACCAACACACTGGCCGCAGATGCGCAGCCCTCATCCCGGGGAGTCACAGGGGCCAGGAACCACACCCCCTCCACAAAGGCCTCTCTGGACAGACCACGTCCCCTGAATCTGTCTATCCACAGCACCCAGGAGACCAGGCCTGCGGACACGGTCGCCATGGAAACTGTCACCTGCTACCAGGGATGCCTTCCAAAGGCATCCCAGACTGTCTGGTGGCAGAATGAAGCAGGAGTGCGCCCTCCAGGAGGGGAGCCGGCTGGGGAGGGACAAAGGCAGATGCCACCCCCTGCTCTGCCGACCCACTGTGCCAGGTTCTCCCCCTACCCCGCAGGGAGGCCGTACCAGGGAGAGGTCGTCAATCACGTGCTGCTGCTCCAGCACCTGCAGCCTCAGGAACTCGAGCTCTTGCTCGTCCCGTGTCAGGCTGAGATCGTTGAGGGACGTGTGCCTCTTCAGAGAAGCCTGCGCCGACAGCTTCTCTTTCTGCAGGAGGCAACAGAGCGAGTTGCGGCTCACCCTCCCACAGCGCCCTGTGCACCAAGGCCAAGGGCTCCCCACAGCCTGGCCTCCGAGGGCCAGGCCAACACAGAGGTGGGAGTAGGGAGATGCGGGCGGCTGCCACCGGGCTCCTGAGCGGGTGATGGTGGCCCACAGTGCCCTCTGCCCTGTGGGACATGGTGGGAGAGGGTCAGAGAGAACCCCAGGGAGTTGGCAGAGAGACGGTGGGGTCAGAGAGGTAAGACCCCACCCACAGGACAGACAGGGCATCCTAGTCTGCAGTGGGGAGCAGCAAGGAGGCGGCGGTGGGGTGCGCTGCCTTGCCCCTGAGGCTCCTGGGAGGCCCGCGGCGTGTCCGCACGCACCACCTCCGCGTTCTCCCGGGCGAGCGCCTTGAGCTTCTCCTCCATGCGCTGGATGCTCTGCAGCAGCTCCTCGTTCTTCTTACTCATGCGCTTGTTCTTCTCCACCAGCGGCTTCAGCTGCACCTCCGTCTCCCGCGAGCGCTTCAGCTGGCGTGGGCGTGGGGAACATGCAGGGCGGGGGCTCAGGCGGGGCTCCTAGGAACCCAACTTCCCCGTCAGGACGCTCCCTGAACCATGCAACCCCCTGAAAGAGCCTGGGGTGGCCTGGGGTGGAGGGGATGTCCCAGATGAAGGAGAGAGGGAGACAGCCTGGCGGGTGGTCCACACATGGCCCTGCTGAGTGCACCGACCCCGGTCCTGGGAGGCCACGTGCAGACCAACTATGGCACACCCAGCACACAGCAGAGTGCAGCGCTGGGTAAAAAAGCAGGCAGATCAGGAGCCATCATGGCAGCTTAGCAAGTAATTCATGCCTACAACGATAACCTTCCGTGTGGGCACCAGTTCCCATCCAGGCTGCTCCTTTTCCAACTCAGCTCCCTGCTAATGTACCTGGGAAAGCAGAGAAGATGACCCCTGCCACCCACATGGGAGACCTGGACAAAGCTCCTGGCTTCGGCTTGGCCCAGCCCTCTGGTCCTTGCAGCTCTCTGGCCAGTAAACCAGCAGATAGGAAAATCTTTCTGTGTAACGCTTTCAAGTAAATAATTGAGCGAATCTTCAAAAGTAAAATGGCAGACGGATCTTCCCGTGTGATGAGCAAAGGACTGCTGTCAGAACACCATGGGGAGAACCGTACCTGGCAGGTGGGGGAAGTCCCACTTTGCAAGCACAAAACAACTCTCAAGCTGGGTGTCTACAGCATGTCTACAAAGCCCCATGCCCCACGCCAACAAGAGCTCTGACTCCAAGGGCCGAGAGCCAGCACCATGGCGCATGGGTAATGCCGGCATTCCCTGCTCACATGCGCAGGTGTGAGCCCCGGCTGCTCCATGTGTGACCCAGCTTATTCGCTAATGCGCCTGGCAGAAGTACTTGGGTACCTGCACCACCTGGGAGACCATGATGAAGCTCCTGGCTTGGGCCCGGCTGTTGCAGCCATCTGAGGAATAAACCAGCAGGTAGATCTTTTGCGCTCTCTCTCTCTTTGTTGCTCCCTGCCTCTCTCTGTAACTATGTCACTTTTTCAAATAAACAAATAAAATTTAAAAACAAAGAAACAAACAAGATGAAGGCGCTGGCCGGAGGAGTGACTCCCACCCCCAGTGCCCAGGGCGGTCTCCGCTGCTTTAGGCAGCCTGCTCTTCCACATCACCCAGGCAATGATTAGGCAGCTCCCTGAGTGTCTTTTTAGCTCACAAACATTTAAGTAAAAAGTGGAGACACTCTGATTAGAGCCACAGAAAACACGTCTTTAAGAACACAGAAAGCAAATGAATTTTCGTTGACGCTGTTGGAATTATCAACAGGTGACTCTGGCAAACAGGCGGACTGGATCATGGCCATCCGGGGAGTGATCCACTGGGTGGAAATCCTCTCCCCCACCACTCTCTCTCTCTCTCTCTCTGCCTCCTAAGTGAAATAAGTCAATAAAACTGTAATCATATCGCCTAAAAAATAATAGTGTGTTTTACTCCACAAATGATTTCATCTGTTAATTTCTCATGAATGAAATCCCAGAGCAGCTGAACATGGTCCACATCATGGATTCTGATGTCTGCCTAAAATGCGTTACAGAAATGTCCCATAGCTGGTACTTCAGTGTTTAGCGGCGGGGGTTTGGATCTGGGTAGGCTATAAACAGCATTGCAAGGGCGCCTTTCCCACACTTCTCACTTGGCTTCCTCAGAGCTGGCCGGGGACACAAGTCCCCCAGATCCCCAGCAACCTCTTCATGGAGCACCTGCCACATTTTTATAGCAGAGAAGCGAGAAGGCAAGGCAAGGAAGCCAGAGGCGTGCACAGCAGGTGTCTGTCCTGTTCTGGAACATTTCCCGGCTGCGGGGCCCCTCCCCAGCTGCGGGGCCCCTCCCCAGCCCCACGCCAGCTGCTTCTCTGGGGCGGGGCCTCGTTACCAGCTCATTCCTCTCGTCTGCCAGCAGGGTATTTCTGTCTTCTAGCTTCCGTATCACCGAATTCAGTTCAGCAATTTTTAGCTGAAATCGCCTCATATCTCGTTCATCCATATGTTGATCCTAAAAAAAGAAAGAGTTAAGACAAAAAATCCTTTAAAGAAGCTGAAGTGATTCAAAGCACTTTATGGAGACTTCTAGAAAACCCATGCAATAATATAAAAGGTAAGCTCCCTATTCAAAGATGGGTAAACCCTGGGTCTGCCACTCACTTGGCCAGGAGACACTGCTGAAGACACTGTCATCTCACAGGTACCTGAGATACTGAACTGCTGGGACCTCACCATCCAGCCCTGCCCAGCCCTGCATCCCTCCCACTCCACCTGCTGTTGCTCAAGGGTAGACACTCAGCAAGGAAGGGCCAGTGCCTGGCAAAGTGGCCAGCACACAGCTCCTGCAACAGCCCCCCGGTGGTAAAACAATGAGTTAATAAATGAATGAAGGGGGGGGCCTGGCAGCGTGGCCTAGCGGCTGGGGTTCTCGCCCTGAACGTGCCAGGATCCCATATGGGCGCTGGTTCTAATCCCAGCAACTTCATTTCCCATCCAGCTCCCTGCTTGTGGCCTGGGAGGGCGGTCGAGGACGGCCCAGAGCTTTGGGATCCTGCACCCGTGTGGGAGACCCGGGGGAGGTTCCTGGATCCTGGCTTCGGATCAGCATAGCATCGGTTGTTGCACTCACTTGGGGAGTGAATCATCAGACGGAGGGTCTTCCTCTCTGTCTCTCTTCCTCTCTGTATATCTGACTTTCCAATGAATAAATAAATCTTTAAAAAAAAAATAAATGAATGAATGGTGCTTCAACCTCCTGTAGGCCTTGAGTAGCAAACTGTGGCCTCAACTCCCTTGCACTTGCTTTTGCCCCCGGCTAAGTTCCTCCCTGCCCACAGGCCTCTGGCTTGAAGGCACTCCCTGCCTGGTCCCAGAGCCCCCCGCATGGTCCGAGGCTACAGCAGGTGAAGGCACTCAGCTCTGGCACCGGCTTGGCACACCGGGAGTGGCCAACTCCAGAAGGAAAGAAAGAGGGACTGATGGGGTGGAGGGAAGGCGGGGCCAGCAGACCAGTGGGACCAGGAGCAAGCTGAAAGGGGTGCCCTTACCTGGCTGCCCATGAGCTCCGCCATGTCCCCAATGCCAGGTGGGAGTTCTCTCTTGGGGCTGCTATGATGCCGCTCGGCCTCTTTGACCTGGACCAGCTGCTCATCCAGGGCCTCCTTCTGCAGGAGCAGCCTCTGCGTCTGGCCCGTCTGCACACCAAGTTCCTTCTCCAGGGCCAAGATGACACGGTCCTTCCCTTTGATCTCGTCCATCTGGAGGAGAGAGGGGGAGCATGGGCAAGAGGGCACTCACGGCCCGGGCAGAGGGATGGCTCCCACCCCTGGGGCTTGAGTCACAGGGAAGGTGCAACCAGGAGCCGGAGTGGCCAGGCGTACAGCCGCGGGAGGACACACTGTTCCCCGTGCACAGGGATAGGGCTGTGGGTTCAAGGATTTGCAGACACCAGCTCGACCTGTGTGTGTCCCTTCCAACTCAGGGACAATTCAAGAAGACTGACCACCCAGTGTCCCAGTCCTTCCCTGCTTCCTCTGCAGCACAGGCTGCTCCCGCACCTCCAGGCCCCTACTCAATCACCACAAGCCCCTCCCATTCCCAAACAGCCCTGGCTGTGGCTGTCGGTGCCCTCCTGCCCTGCAGCAACTGGACGACAGTCTGTCCTCCCATCCCAACTAGTGCCCAGCGGCTGACTGTGGTCCGGGTGACAGCGCACTGAGTCTGTGGTAAAGGAACGCTGCTTCTGTTTGCTGTGGCCACAGCAGCTGTGCAGGTCAGCGTCCGGGGAAGAACCTCTGCAGACATCACCAAGCCAAGGATTCTGAAATAAGTCCACCCTGGGTTAACCCAATGACAGCTTTTATAGGAAGAGGAGAGGCCAGATAGATGAAGAGGAGGCTGTGGGAAGGCAGTAGAGACTGGAGGGATGCAACGCAAACCAGGGAAGGCGTGGAGACAGCAGAAGTTTGAAGAGGCTGCACGGCTACTCCCCGGAGCCTCGGGACAGGTGTGGCAGGGCTGCCACTTCATTCGGGGCTCCTGGCCTCCACAACATCAAAGGAATAAAACCCTGGTTTCCGGGACCTGCTTCCACACGGAGAGATTTCTCCTCCCACGGTGAGTACACCATGAGGAAATCCTGGGATGGAATTAGGCCTCTAGCCCCGCCCTGCAACCACCACCTGTGGCGGCAGGAAACCAGGGGTTGGAGTTGGACCTTGGCGGCCCCGGTGACAGCAGCTCTCTGCAGTGGTGGCGACCGGCTTGCTGAGAGTACCCAGGCTAGGGGTTGGAGTTGGACCTCGGCGGCCCTGGTGATCTGCAGTGGTGGCGACCGGCTTGCTGAGAGTACCCAGGCTAGGTCGGACCCAATGCCCGGGACTTGGCCCATGGGCACCATCGTCACACAGTGATCAAGTCCTAGGCTTTGGGCAGCCAGTGTGCTCTTGGGTGCCAGGCTCTGCCTGCTGGTCACCCGGCGTGTCTAGGGTGTTTAGGGTATGTAATTGCTGCCTAAGGACATCCAGGGATAAGGCTAGAGTTAGTGCACATGAGAGGTGAGTTCTGTGTGATTCCTAGCGATGGGGTCACGGAAGTTGCTTGCAAGCATGGGGACTGAGATCTGAGGGTTTGGAGGGGAGAGTCCAGAAGTTCTACTTAGGCCAGATTGATTCATCAAGTCACATGGGAATCCTCAGATGGGCTGTTAGTGTAGAGCATCACTGACTGCCACACAGGGCTGGTTGGGTTGCACTAGGCTTCAATGCCCATTGACATGTGTGAGAGCTAAATGGGATGTGGGACAGACTGAACAAGTCAGCAGTACATACTGGCAAGCACTGGAACTAGGGTAGGGGCAGGACTGGTGGGGGTTATAAGGAGTCACCCCGGCTAGGTTGCAGCTCCCTCTGGTTTGCGTGAGGGCCTGATATGAAGTGGGCAGGATTGAGTTGGACTGCAACAACCATTGGTTCACGAGGAAGACAGGGCTGGAAACAGAACTGGCCCAGAAATTGCAACCACCAGCATGTGCATAAGCTGATTGGGGCGACGGTCTGTACCGGATCCTGTACTGGGAAGCACACACAAGAATCAGGTCTGGGATCACCTCAGATGAAGTTTCTCTGGGGATCCCTCCAACTGAGCTGCCGGTCTCAGAACTCCAACCATGAAGAGACTGTCAGTCAGGGGATTCTGAAGAGATTTCATCGTGCTTGGAGCGGCAAGATTGACAGCAATTCAGAACTATTGAACTATCAAAACTGCATGAGCAGGACCCTCGGAGCATGCCCAACCTCGGGGACCTGGGATGGGTGGGGGGCTGGGTAGGGCTTCTCCCTTTATCTCTTCTCTTACCCCAGATACAGAAATAATAATAATAATAATAATAATAATAATAATAATAATAATATTGTGGAAACAATGGTCTTACCCACTTTCCTGTAGTCCTTGACCCTTTGTGCCTTAATCAGCTATGTAAAGATTACCAAAATAAAAATTTAAAAAAAAAGCCTGGCCACAGGGCCAGCATTGTGGCATATCATGTCAAGATACCACTTGCAACATTGGCATTCCCACGTGTACTCAGATTAAAGTCCTGGCTGTTCCACTTTGATCCAGCTCCCTGGTAATGCATGTGGGAAAGCAGAGGAGGACGGCCCAAGTGCTTGGGCTGTACCCGGGAGGGAGAGCCAGAGGAAGCTGCTGGCTTCAGACTGGCTCAGCTCCAGCCACTGCAGCCATTTGGAGAGTGAATCTACAGATGGAAGATCTTTCTCCCCATCTCTATAAACTGCCTTTCAACTAAATAACATCTTGTAAAAAAATTAATATAAAAAAGGGCCAGATTCACACAGCTTCTAGCACACACTTTCCTTCTGCTGACCTCACACATGGCTCCCAGGCTGGGCTCTCAGCTCTCCTGAGCCCCCCATGAGACTCCACTCCCCCGCCCTCAGGACCAGGATGAAATACAGACTCGCCCTGAAGTCTCCTGTGTCTTCACCAAGTGCAGGCTGCACCCCTCTCCTTCCTGTGGCTACCTTCCCTCCTCCGCAGTCAGCATGCAGAGTAAGGGGTGGAACTAACACCACTCAAGGTCCCAAGGCGTCCCCTGTCGGCTCACACCACCCACACAGCCTGCCCTCCGGCAGTAACTGGTTTGGGGCTGGATGCATGGTCTAATCAGAGCCAACGATATGCAGAGGGCATCTCTGAGCGGGCTCTGGCCCAGCAGTGCACCTGACCAGCCCAATGTGGCAGCCCAGTGTGACACCTGACCCTAACCCAAAGAACCTGGGCGACATCATGAGTGGCCCTGGTGCTGTGGCTGCAGCCAATCCCACAACTGGACACCAGGCGGAGCTGACACTCTTCTGGCCGAAGCTTCCCTGAGGGGGGATTTCTATTACATGCAACTAAAAAGAACCCACTAACACAGAGAGAAAGACCAACGAGCTTATGATGCCTTTCATGTCGCGTGCATGCCAGTGGGAGCGAGGGTACACTGTGCCACCAGTCCAAAAGACCCCATCCCACACGAGGCTGGACAGGTGAATGTGCTCACACTCCATCTAGCAACAGAGCCACCACAAACACAGGTGGCCGCTGCAAACCCGCAGGGTCCCCTATCCCACGGGACCAGGATCCGGTCACTTCTCAGTGGTCAGACCACCAGCACCTGTGTGTCAGCGGAGACCACAGCCCGGCGCATTGCCACCGTGAATAACCTTGTGGACTCCACTTCACTGTAAAGTGTGGGGGCTCAAGGGCTGATGCAGCAGCCACTCACCCAACACCCATGCTGACCCCACCTGTGATGAAGTGACCCCCCTAAATGCCGTATCTTCCCAGAGAGTCACCTCACTTGGGAACAGGGGCTCAGTATGAGATGAGGGCACACCAGGCTGAGGTGAGCAAGCATGAGGTGCTTGGTACAAACCAGGAGCTGCAGGGACCACAGGCAGGAAGAACTCCGTTTCCGGCTCACCTCACGGGCAGGTGCAACACAGGGAACAGCTTCTGGCCCAGGAGGCAAGAGCACAAGCTCACAGAACTTCCGAGAAGCAAAGTGCTATGAAATCAACCCCCCACCCCCTCCACACATACCCTTCTTTCCCTGCCTCTCACGACCAAGGGACAAGGAAGTGATGGCTGGCACCCGCGGGGACGAGGAGGTATGAGGCAGGAGCTGGCAGACATTTAAGGTGCTCAAAGCTCTGCCACCCTCCAGGCTAGTAAGAGAAACTGTGACAGCCCCTGCGGACTTGGGGGTGTCTTCCACAACACACAGGCAGGCCTTACTCCTCAACAGGAGGAACGAACAGTTGTCGGCCCTGCTGACTGTAACTGCCCCGGAGGCACAGTGACGAGCGGGTGAAGACCTGGAATGCTAGCTCTCACGTGCCCCAGCAGCCAGGACAGGAAACAGCTGGCCTTCTGCCATGGCAGCAGCACAGGCGACAGCTCTGCCGCAGGGGTAACACACGCCCAACAGGGTGATGGGAGCAAGTGCATTGTTCTTCCCACCCCTTCTCCTAAGTGGGCCGGGCACTCCAAGAGGACATGGCACACACCTGGAGATCACGGGCAGCAGGATGGAAACAGGTGCTACGTTGCTCAATTCCTGGCACATAACATTCATTTGAGAGAGGGCGGAACAGACAGCTCCCACGTGCCGGCTCCCTCCCTCCCCATAGGCTTACACAGCCAGGGTGGGGCCAGGCCCAAGCCAGGAGCTGGGCACTCCATCTGGACCTCCCCTGAAGGCGGCAGGGACCCAAACACTCGGACCACCTGCTCCTCCCAGGACCCACACCAGCAGGAGGTAGACAGGAGGAGCCGCACCCAGGAATCCAAAGCGCCCACGCTGACATGGGATGCAGATTCTTAGCTGGCGCCTCTCCTCACTAGCTACGCGCCTGATTGCCCGCAGCGCCCAAATTAACCTCAAGCACCCTCCTGTGTAGGTAGGCACATGGGGAGGTTTTCCTTGGTTCACCTCGTTAAAATGCAATATTTTTTCAAGACTTATTTTATTTATTTGAGAGGCACAGATGTACTATAGGTGCGGGAAGGAGGGAGCTTCCATCCGCTGCTTGACTCCCAGATGGATGCAGCGGCGGGGCTGGGCCAGGCTGAGGTCAAGAGCTTCATCCAAGTCTCCACATGGGGGCAGTCTTCATTAGCAGGGACCTGGATTGGAAGTGGAGCACTGAGGACTTGAACCAGCACCCAGGTGAGATGCCAGTACCACAAA